CACACACAGAGTGAGATAAAGCGGGCGTGGCCTCCTGAAAGGATGATGAAAGTGTGTGAGGTCTCGGCCGTTGTGGTTAAACTGTTTCCTGTGAATCTGATAGACACACACACACCAACACACCCACATGTACCCCCTCCCTTCACCCCCCCCCACACACACCGTTATCTTTCCGACCAGATCAAAGTGACCTCTGACCGGACCCTAAATGCTGTCAGACTACGTCTACTTTTGTATCAACTGTAGTTACACTTCCACGCCACAGGTGTCTCTGTTGTCTAACATGTGGAGCGTGTAATGAGTGAACGTTCACATCAGCCCATCAGGTCTACACCAGATCCAGACCCAGAACCGGTCCACACTGAAGTCCACCCAAAGGTCTCCGGCTAGGTCAGGGTCACCGACCTTCTGACCCCACAGATCGGTTCCGTGTCTGACAGTGGTGTAGATGAAGCTGGGAGAACCTGAAGGCTGCTCCTCTGGATCAGGACTCCTAACTCTCCACAGCTGTCTGGACAACCTGGACCCACGGCCTGATGACATCATCACATGATGTAATAAGACAGATGATGTCATCAGATGATGTAATAAGGCAGATGATGTCATCAGATGATGTAATAAGGCAGATGATGTCATAAGTCAGATTACGTCATCAGATGATGTAATAAGGCTGATGATGTCATCAGATGATGTAAAGCGGTGAATGGTGAATTTCCCCTGGGACAGAACTAGTCAGATGGTGAGTGGTCTCACCTTGGTGGTCTCACCTTGGTGGTCTTATGTGGACCAGACTGCCACTGGACAGTGGAGGGTAATGTCCCCATCTTCTTTTTTTCCATGATGCCTCCTGACCCCTGACCTCCTGACCTCCTCCTCTTCTTCCTGCACCACTCTGACCATGATGGCGCTCTGCCCTCGATTCCTCTGGTGCCATGGCATTCCTCTGGCAGATGCCAGTGTGTGATGATGGTGCCATGCTCAATGGCAACATAGCAGCTGGTGGACTTGAACCTGAAACATCCCAAGTCACTTCCTTAACCACAGACAACATCAGTTAGTCATCACACACACACAGACTGCTGACATGCTTTACTGTTAGGCACCAACACTGTCCACTGAGCTACAGTGGATTTTGATAAAAACAACAATAAAAAGAGTGGGTGTTGACTAGTTTATTACTGATCAGCTGTTAATAACTGACAGGTTGTTGGTAATTGATATTAATGTCATTGTTGTTGTGCTTTGTTTACCAGAGTTAATGAGTTTAAAGCTTCTTCTTCTAAACAAAACTTTCATTCATAAATATTAAAGAGTCAGTAAATACAAGCAGGTAAGTAGTCAGTAAATAAAAACAATCCCAAACATAATCACGGACTAGTTTTATAACTGCGTTGCATAAGTGCTTTTATGTTGGAGGAGCGTTTTATTTTGAAAGTACTACGCCCCCCCCCCCCCCCCCCCCCCCCCGCAGCTCAACTCAAATTTCCCTGACATCTAGTGGCGAAGTCTCAAATTGCAACTGACTTCAGAAATTATTGCTTTCTTCTAACAGCTATAGCGAACAGACACGTCACTTCCTGAAGCTCTTTCACAGTAAAAGTCGACTCTGCACTTTTATTGTGAAACGTCACTGTAAGGCAGAGATAAATGTGATCAGGTAAAACAACGGGAAGAGCTTTATGTTGAGGACCACGGTGACGTCACACTAGGGCGTGGCTAAAAGTGCTGGAAAAACTGAATGGCTTGATTGTCAGGAGTGACATCAGCACTTAGTTAAAGGGGTTGTGCTTCTCCTCCTCCACCTCCTCCCATGTTCCAACATGCACCGCCTCCTTTAGATGTCACCCCTGTCCAAGACCAGCATCAACAGGTCCAGGTCCCCAGCGTTGGCTGCCTGGACCAGATCAGGCCGGTCCATCAGAGAGACCGCGACCCGCAGTGCGGCCCAGATGTTGGACGACATCTGCTGCTGGCTGCAGCGTTGGCTCCGCCTCTGCTGGTTCAGAGCCGTCAGGAAGTTACTGACCGCCTCCCTGTTGGGCCACGATCAAAACCAGGACAAGGACCAGTTAAGCGCTAGTTCAATACTGGGAGAGTAACAGCGGGTCAGAAGACCCAGGACTACTTCCTGGTACCTGTGCGCTCCAAGGTTAATGCAGCTGATCCCCAAGTTGTACCTGGACCTAATAAAACCGGGCTGCAGCTCCAGAGCCCGCGTGTACGCCTCCACTGCCTCCTCGCTACGATTCCCATTCGCCAGCGTTGCTCCCAGACGGTTCCAGAGCAGGTAGTCCTGGAGAAAGAACCGCTGTGAGGTCGGTCAAGAGGCCACCGTGATGTCATGGGCCCACCGTGATGTCATGAGACCACCGCGAGGTCATGAGGCCACCGTGATTTCATGAGGCCACCGTGATGTCACGAGGCCACCGTGATGTCATGATACCACAGTGATGTCATGAGACCACCGTGACGTCATGAGGCCACCGTGAGGTCAGGAGGCCACCGTGATGTCATGAGACCACCGTGAGGTCAAGAGGCCGCCGTGAGGTCAAGAGGCCACTGTGAGGTCATGAGGCCGCCGTGATGTCATGAGGCCACCTTGAGGTCAAGAGGCCACCGTGAGGTCAAGAGGCCGCCGTGAGGTCAAGAGGCCACTGTGAGGTCATGAGGCCACCTTGAGGTCAAGAGGCCACCGTGAGGTCATGAGGCCACTGGGGGGTCATGAGGCCACCGTGAGGTCAGGAGGCCACCGTGAGGTCAAGAGGCCACTGTGAGGTCATGAGGACACCGTGAGGTCATGAGACCACCGTGAGGTCATGAGGCCACTGTGAGGTCATGAGGACACCGTGAGGTCATGAGGCCACCTTGAGGTCAAGAGGCCACCGTGACGTCATGAGACCACCGTGAGGTCAAGAGGCCTCTGTGAGTTCATGAGGCCACCGTGATGTCATGACGCCACCGGGCTGTCATGAGACCACCGTGAGGTAATTAGTGCTTTGGTGTTATCGCCCCTACGTTTATGTTGATGTCATCACCTGCGGTCGGACAGACAGAGCCGTCGTAAATGCTGACACTGCTTTGTTGAAGTCTGCACTCAGGTTGAAGAGGACGCCCAGTCCAGTCTGAAGGTCTGGATCAACACAGTCCAAATTCTCCTGGGAGGCCTCCTGGAAGATGTGGAGGACCTCCTGGAAGCCTGTCCTGGTGAGAGAGCGGCCAGCTTCACAGGTGTGGTCTCCATGGTAACATGTGCTTCAACTCAAAAGATGATGCCCATACCTGAGTGGGCTGAAGGTCCGTGGGCTCCTGCTGCTGGAAGGAGAACCCTGGAGTTCAACAAGGTGCTTGTACCGTGGGTTGTGGCTTATCCAGCGCCACAGAGCATCGCACGCCTCCTGCTGGAGACCGCAGTTTGTGCAGCTAACAGCCAACGCCAGGAGAGCCGGCAGGTGGTCGGGACGCAGCTCCAGACACCTGTGGAGAAGGACGGTGGGAAGTAAGTGTGTTTCATTATGGTGGTTCCGACTACCGCTCTGCGCCGGTGGCGTCACCTCTGCAGCGACACGATTGCGGCGCGCTCGTTCTCATTCTCCGCCTGAGTAGATCCAAGGAGCTGCCACGCCTGGAAACAAAGGAAGAAGTCCTGAACTCTGACCCCGCCCCTTAACAGTCACTCATGTCGTGGGCCTATTGTGACCCACCACAGGCAGTGATGACATCACCTCATAGTCCTGCGGGTCCTGGAAGATGGCGGCCTCCAGCAGCAGCACGGCAGCAGTTAAGTCTCCTTGACGACCTCTTTCCTGACCCTCCAGGAAGGCGTTGGGTTGATCCCGGTACGGGTTGTTGGGGCTGAATAAGTAACCCTGAGCACAAAACACATGCAGAGATATCCCCACCTGCTGTTCACAAACCAGAACTACAGCTGGAATTGTCTCCAGGACATGTCCTCTCAAATCTCTGACCTTTGACCTTCACATTTACACACACATGGGTCTGGTCTGTGGACTCACGGCACCAGAAACAAAGTTCTTCACGGACCGGGTTTTTTCAGTGAAGTTTAATCAAATGTCTTCAATGGACCAGGTTCACCACAGACCACATTCTAGACAGCGGTACACTACGTGGTACACTACGTGGTACACTACGTGGTACACTACACTACGGTACAGTACGGTACAGTACAGAGGTAGATCCTGGACTTCTACTACTGAGGATTAGCAGTTGTAGACCAGGTTTTTTCCGGACCAAGAACTGAATGAACTTACTCTCTCCGCTGGTGAGACCATGGTCTGGACCGGCTGCTGGTCCTCACAGTCAGAATCCAACCATTTCCTGCGTACAAGCTCCTCCCACTCAGCCTGCATCTTATCCCAGAAAACTGTGTCTGACTGAAACAAGACACAACACAGAATCAGAAAAAGTCCCACAATGCACCAGGAAAGAGAACGACATTCCAGGGTCAGAACACCAGGACCTGAGTGTCTCTGGGTCTGAAGGTTCTGCTGAGTCAGAGAACAGGAAGTCCTACAGGACATTTGATCAGAGTCCAGAGGAGTGAGACAGAACCTGATCTGAGGTAAGTGTGTGTGTGTGTGTGTGTGTGTGTGACCTCTACTGCAGCCTTGGCTCTGAAGAACTCGTCCTCCAGAGACTCGTTTCTGGTCAGAAGAGAACGTGTCCTTCGACGAGTCGGCCTGGACTCCTGAGGACATGATGACATCATTGTGATGTCATAATAAATATACACAGCCATGAAATATACTTATTATTGACCTTTGATGATGTCAGAAGGTCGAGGTCATCATGGACATCAAAGTTCTTCATCAAAGGATCTGTTTTAAAATCCACAGACCTACACACACACACACTGTTAGTTCAGTTCATTACAGTGACCAGGAGGTGGAGCCAGAGGACAGAGTGGGTGTGGTTACCAGAGCAGCTCACTGGAGGAGTGATGGGAAGAACATTTTTTCTCCAGGGTTCTCCTGCGTCCCACACCTATGTCCACATGCCATTGGTTTAGACCCCCTGTAACCATGACGAATGTTTAACACGTCACTAGGAGACAAGTGAAGACTGCTGAGAGACCTGGTCACCTGAGTCCACATGTCCCGCCTCCATGTGGTTCAGCCCTGTGTCCTCAGAGGGACTCCTCTTTGTAGGACTCCACCTGTGGTCCTTATGACTCCGCCCACTGGTGTCACTCGGCTCACTGAGGTCCACAAGGTCCAGGGTAGTTGACAGAACTGGAGGGGACAGGAGAGGACGGGGAGAGGGGACACATGGACCTTATAATGTCCAAACAATGACACCTGAAAAAGCCTGATTCTTCTGTTGACCACACTGAGGCGCTGTTGACAAAAGGACAGTCCAGTCAAAGGACAACAGCTCCAGAGTCTCCCACCGTGGACATAAGGTCTCAGCCAACACAGGCGAGTCACATGACCCGCTGTGGCGTCTATTTTAGACCTTGCCAGAGTCACATGGTTTAGCAGTGACCAATCACGTTCACCCTCCATCATCTGATGATCATCTACAGATGGACCTGGTCCTCTACAGAAGACCACCAGTAGGTCTGAAGAACCAACAAACCACAGAGTCAGAGGCAAGGACTAACCTGCTGTGTTAGAGGTGAGAGGTCGCGACAAAGTGGGAGGGGCGTCTCCCCGAGTCTCCGACAGGAAGTCATCGATGGACGGACTCAAGAGGGGACGACTCTCCTGCTGCTCCAGAAACGGACAGAGAGACAACAGGAAGTTGACATAAAAACTTTGACCACGACTGCTGTGATCTGTGAGTTTGACTAAAGCCCCGCTGATGTCATCAGGCTGACCTTGGTTGTCACCGCAAGGAGGGCGTGTCCTTCACCAGATGTCTTTTTACCAGGAAGTTCTTTTAGCACCATGGCAACCACCCTCTCACCTTTACCCTGCAATAGGAAGTGATGTCACTCTTTTAACACACTTATGTCAAAGGGCTGAGCCAATAAGGTTGCTGGTCCCTGAAATGGAAACATACACAGTTCCTGGTTCTGTTCCTGTGCTCCAGACGGAGGTCAAGAGGTCATGACAACTGTGCTGAACTAGGTGGACAACACAGGTGTGAAGGTCAGGCCCTCACCTGGGCCCTGGTCCTCACCTGGACCCTGGTCCTCACCTGGGCCCTGGTCCTCACCTGGGCCCTGGTCCTCACCTAGACCCTGGTCCTCACCTGGGCCCTGGTCCTCACCTGGGCCCTGGTCCTCCCCTAGACCCTGGTCCTCACCTGGACCCTGGTCCTCCAGTTTATCACCCGATGTTTATCTTCTGCTTTGACATGAATCTTTAATGAGACCTGACTCTCAGCTCATACACTTTACGTGACACAAACCGCAGTGCACAGGAGACCGGGGCACAGGAAGGAGGAGAGGGGGCGGAGCCAAAACAACACAGGAGGGAAAGGCAGACGAAGCTTCAGCTGCTGACAACACAGGCAGGATGATACAGGGAGCATGGGCGGAGCCTACAGCACACAGGTTCCTGATTGGTGGAGGAGTGTCTGCATTCATCCTTGGTCCACAAACAGAACTGCTTTTTTATAGAACTGTAGAACCATGGAAGACTTTTTGCTGACTGAGCTAGCAGGAAGTTAGTACCAAAACCGGTACTGTTGGGACTCTCAGGGACAAACAGAGAACATGGTGGAACCTGGTGTTAGACATAAACACAAGCTCAATAAGGACTGGGATGGTACCAGTGACCAACCAGACTGGGTTTGATATTAATACTATAATGACATATTATTATTATTATTATTATTCATTAGGTTCATGTGAACAAACTAAAGCTTTTAGTTTTTTTTACGATATTAGAAAACGACTAAAAAACGTGTGATTCTTTCAAACATCTGTTTCAAAAGAATTCGGAGAAGCTTCGATTAAATGGAAACATTTTCTACTGTACGTTTAGTTCTACGTTAACAGTAGGATTTAATTACGATTTGTCGAAATCTCAGCGTTGTTACGGCGGTGTGCTGACGTCACATCTGGCATCACAGTGAGAGCTCACCTGAACCTGGTACATGGTTCTGCTGGGAATGGAGTCCGGCCCCAATTTCAGTCTGGGTCCTGTTCTGTCCTAGTCCTGCGTCTGGTCCTGGTCCTGGTCAGTCCTGTTCATGCCCCATGTATGTTCTCGGTCTGGTGCAGGATCCGTTTGTCGAACCGCCTCCCAATCAGTTTTGAATCCGACTCTGTTTCGCAGGAGGGAGAAAGGGCTAAAAACAAACCAGGAGACGAAGAGAGCCGAGCTGCGCCGAGGACAAATGACGGACACAATTTCTTCCTGTAAGGATTTTCACAATAAAGGCACGCAGTTTCCATTTCTAACATTGTTTACTTCAAGTCAAGTCAAGACAATAAACATGTTTGCTTAGTTATTTGTTCATTTGAAACTCATTCAGCACCATCTAGTGGTGACGAGGAAGTTGAACATCCCTCACCTCATTCGTGTTCACACATGGGGAGAATACATTGTTTAATCTAGTCCACGTCACAAGTCTAGGCTCGTCCGCTGAGGACTACGGTCAACACATGGTCATCCAACATGGCCGCCGGACCTGCCCTTTCTGTGAGCGTACACTTACAGGAAATGACATAACTCCTGTTATTTCTATTGAAGTGAAAAGTCTAAACAGAACAATTAGCAGAACTTGGTCCAGAACCAGACATAACAGGAACCTGAAGGACTGATCCAAAGGCCAGTGTCTTTAAAATCCTACTAAAGGTTTGGTTCAGCCCACAGTCCATGACACCAACTTTGCCACCCAAAGCACTGCATTATGGGTTTTTGTGAAACCTCAGGAATATGTTCTGTTGTTTTTGGTCCCTGTATTGGGCCAGACATTGTGTCTGGCCCACGTCTGTTATCCACAGTGTGGTTCTCGATCTTCTTCAAAGTGCCATTATCATCTGGCCCATGTGGTATTCAGAATGCGGTCCAAATCGTTTGCTCAGATGTGGCCCAGACTCCATGGATATCCTCAGTGACCTGCCTTGAACCTGGACTCTGTCCATGACGCACTGTGGTCCTGGTTCGGTGGAGCAGTGGACTTCACACTTGCATGTAGTTCATTTTTTAGATCGGTTTATCTTCAGCTCAGCGCGGGTCATCAGTGGTGATGTCATTGCTCGTGTCATCAGTGGTGACCGTGGCACCATTGTTAATGCGCTCCTTTGTTGTTGGAGTGACACTGACCCTGACATTGACCTCAGTGGTGGCGTTGGCGTCCTGCAGGTGGCGACTCTAACCGTGTTTTTCCCATAGAGTCGGCGTTCATATTGCAGTAGCTGCTCCCAGAATCCCGTGTTGAGTCGAATATAGGGCCGGCTCTCGATCACCCAGCGGTGTGCCTGACACAACGTCACGCCGCGGTAACGCATCAGGTACGCCATCACTAGCGCCGGTGAACGGCTCATCCCAACAGCACAGTGCACCAGCGTCCCACCACCTCGGTTCTCATGGATCCGATCTGCCACGCGGTCAAAATGGTCACCGAGTCGTGCAGTGGGCAGGTCGCACACAGGAACCCGCACGTGCTCTACCCCTGGGTAGGCAGGGCAGGAGTGGCTGAGGGTGGCATTTACGATCAGGGTGATGCCTTTCTGAGACACGAGGGCAGCATTCAGAGAGGCGTCGGCTCCACCCAGGAACAGGGTGGGTGTGATCTGAGAGACAGACATGTCCGTGAGCTGTAACACAAACACACACAGTGTGAATGCACTGCAAAACAGCTAGCACTGAAACAGTAGTAAAGACGCTAATGAAGCTAAGACACTACATGGACCACAGCTGTGCACTGGGTTTAACTAGACCATCAAAACTGTTAGCCTAGCCTAGCATGTTTAGCATTAGCAGCACTTCCCAACCTCAGTGGAAATCAGGAGTTAGCATCAAAGATCAAAGGTATTAGTAAAGTCAATGGGAGCAGTCAGAGACAGGGAACAAAAGAGAAGTGTTGTTAAACTAGTTCAACAACTAGTTCAACAACGAGTTCAACAACTCACCAACTAACACTGTGTCTGTCTGTGTGTGTGTATGTGTTACCTATGCTGGTCTCTTTTCTTCTCTGGTCGTGTATGTGTTACCTATGCTGGTCTCTTCTCTTCTCTGGTCTCTGGTCACTGGTTACTGCTCGCTCTCTCTCTCGCTCTCTCTCTTACTCTCACACAGGCCATAAATGGTGACAGGTGTCACTCCTCCAGCCAATCATGTGACAGGGCTATTTTTGTGGGACAGCTAAGGTCACATGACTCCAAGTGACAGAGAAGATGACATCACTGTTAGGAAACCAAACAGCCAGAGGAGATGATTAAACATGAAAGTTTCTGACATTCAAATCTTTTTACCAGAATTGTAATAAAAACAAACATGAAAAGATAAAAACTTGGATCCAGTTTAGTTTCGTCCATATGTCCATTCAAACTCCTGTAAGATCAAAGACAAGTTCTACTTAACTATAACTGTTTTAAATGTCAGTGTAGTGAAGACTGGACCAAACAAACTGGATAAAGACATGAAGCTCAAACAGCAACTTCTCCTTAAAACTCTTCAGAGTCTGATCTTTTTCTTATGTCATTTTAATGTTGACCAAATTCATTCAAAGTCATTGTCAACAAGACATCTTCAGTGGGAACAACCTGTGGTAATAACGCCATATTCCCAGTAGGACTCCTGGAATTGGAGGCTCTTCTTCTGTCTCCTCATTGGCTCTTTGACCCTGAGCAGAGAAACTTTCCAAAGACGTTTGTTTTCTGTTCATGTTCTTTCTGCCACTTCCGTCCGCGCTGCCGGAAGTGGATTTAAAGCAACGTCAACAAGGAAGAAGTCCTTTTAGCTATTAGCCTGTTAGCTACTCCGTGATGGCGGACCTGAACCGGCAGCTCCAGGAGTATCTGGCCCAGTCCAAAGCACCAAAGACCTTGTCTCATTCCAGCTCTAGCTGCGCGGTGGATCTTGAAAAAACAGAGCCGGTAACCGGTAGCTGGTTCGGTCAGTGGTCCAGCCCGTGGTCCGGTCAGAGCTCCTCAGGCACAAACGGCAGTTCGTTCTGGCCATGGTCAGCGGAACCGGATCCATGTCTACCGGGGATGAGTCGCCGTCAGCGGCTGGTCGCCTTTGGCGTCTGCGCCTCCTTCTCTGCGCTGTGCTTCGTCCTGTCGGCACTTTACGCCCCACTGTTGCTGCTCTATGCCCGGAAGTTCGCGCTGCTCTGGTCTCTAGGTTCTCTTTTTGCCATCGCGGCTGTGGCGATGCTTCGGGGCCCCAGCAAACTCTTGTCCGGCTTACCCTCCTCTCCCGGGGCCGCCCTGTATCTGTGCGCCCTAGGCGGGACATTGTACGCGGCTCTGAGCCTTCACAGTACTGCGCTTACGGCGCTGGGCGCCGCCCTGCAGGTCGCCACCATCGTCGGGTACGTGTTGTCGCTGGTGCCCGGAGGAAGCGCCGGAATGCGATTGGTGGGAGGAATGGCAGCGTCCGCCATCAAAAGAACAGTTAGCGGAAAAAGTCTGCCTATCTGAGATTATCAGGGGACCGGGACCGGGACCCGGTTCCTGTAGAACGTGTCGGTACATTCCAGAACAGCAGTTGAAGAAGACTGTTTTTTTTTTTCTCGACCTCATGAGTTTGTAATCAAAAATGTGAACTTATTCACTTTGATTTTGTTAGAAACTGATTTTCAGTCCAAATACCGGAAGTTTAGATAAACAAACTTCCTACTGTTATAACTATCTTCTCTGTCCAGCTGTTGGTTTTCTGTGAAAACAAATACTAAGACTCAAAACTGCTGAACATTTAAATCTCTTCGTGTTCTTCAGTGAAAAAAAAATTACTTCGTTGGAGAAAACCAATGATTTCAGCTCACAGACCAAAGTCCTGAAGGGACGGAGCTGGTCCTCTGCTGCCACCTGTGGCCGGGTGAACTGCTTACAGACAAAACAACACATTTAAAGTCAACTCTGTCCCTTTGTCACAGTCTCGCCGCAATGTAAAACACGTTGCTTTAAGTACAGACACCCGAGCTAACGTTAGCTACAACAGTCCCGGTCCAGACCAACAGTGTATCCAGCCCATCATAGACCAGATGAGAGGGATCAGAACCAAAGTCTTGAGATGTTGACTATAACAGCTGTAATTGTACTGTCAGTTTGTAGTACTGTGAATGTAGCAGACTGACTAAATATACATGTGTATATAAACTGCCGTGTGTCTGTGAGCTAAAACGACTGATTTTCTCTGTGAGGTTAGCGGTGGGGCGACAATGCATGCTGGTTATTATGGGCAGAAAACCAAGTCCACTCCCTGCAAGAGTGTCACTTCCTGTCTGCAACAGATGCAGTTAGAAGAGTGAATCTTTATTGTCCACCTGTGGGGGCAGTGACGACACAAAAACATAGAAATCCTTTACAAAAAAAACAAGTCCAGAGACAAAAATGTGAAATGAAGAGATGCAGCTTCTCTACAATATCTTACATTAAAACAAGCCTGTGACATCACACACTCACACCAGTGGACCAATCACAGGCCAGTGCTGTGTCACATGACGTGTCAGTCTTTGAGAGTTCATCAGTCTTTGACTCAAGGAAAGTAAGATAACTACCGGCCCCGGACCCCTCTAGGTGCTCCTCTGGGTGGTGGGCCTCCTCGTCTGGGTCCTGGTGGACCAGGACCCCAACCTCCACGTCCACCACGAATAGGAGGAACAAATCCACCGTCGTCTCTCTGAGGAGGTCGACCTGCAGACAGACGTCAGAGTTAATCGTAGATTAAAACCTGAATGTGTTCATTGATAGATGCTGGAGAAGAAGAATAAAGAAGCTGCGATAATAAATAATCCATAAAGTATCGATGGCTCTAACTGATCAGCCTGAGGTTGGTCGACTCGGCAGCATCAGGACTCACCTCCATCAGGCCCAGGAGACTCCAGATCTCGTGGATCTCCTGTTCCTGGTCCGTCCTGCCAAGGGCGCTTCCGCGGCGGCAGAGACGCCATGTCCATGCCTTGCAGTGAGGACGAGCGCTCGCGACCTGCCGGAGACGAACCATCATGCATCTGCTGTGTGTCTCGGTAAAGTTCATGTCCTGCAGGCAAAAAGAACCACGTTAAAGGCCTCGGGTTCTGAGTGGAGTAGATCCCACACAAAGCCAATTCTCACCTCCTCCTCTAGGGGGACCTCCTGACCGTGGCAGTCGTCCTCTGCCACCACTGTCCCAGCCACGGCTCATATCCTCCGGACCATCGAAGACTTCATCTGGAATGCCATACTCATCAGGAAAACCTCGGGCCCCAGGCCGACCGGGCCCCCCCGCTCTAAACCTACAAACCAGGTAAAAACAAAACAGGTTTTATCAGGACATCTGTCCAACCACAGCCCATGATGCCCATGATGTCAGCGTCACAGATCTTCAAACTGCTGCTGAAGTGAAACACGTTCTCACCGATCGTCTCTACGGCCTCTGAAGTCACCTCCACCAAACCTCTCATCGTGGCCCCAGTTCCCACCACTGCCTCCTCCACGGTGTCCTCTCCCCCGAGGTCCTGCCCCTCCTTGGAATCCTGGTCCAGGTCCAGGTCTCCAGTTTTCCTCTCCTCGGCCATGAAAGTCCTGGCTTCCGTCAAAGTCCTGAGGTGCACGACGACCTGGCTGAGTGTCATCCCAGTACCCTTGATCTGGTCCTCCAGAACCTCCAAGGCCCTGTCGATCCACAGGGCCCATGTGGTAAGTGTGTGGTGGCCCCCGAGGATCTCCTTTGAAAAGAGTTATCAGTTCAAAGTCAGGAGCGGATCAGAGCTTGGTCCCCGGACCAGACCTGCGATGACATCGTCCAGCTCAGTGTTACTGACCTTTCATGTTGGGCCCCTGCTGGCCCATTCCGTGCAGCATAGGCCCAGAGTTCTGACCCTGCAAAGACGCCATCAGTGTTAGGATCAGAGAGGACCTAAAACTAGTTCCTGGAACTGTTAATTACCAGTGTTACAAACTCACCTGGTTCTGCATGTAAGACTGCATGTTTTCATGTGGTCCCTGCATATTTCCAGGGGGGCCCTGTATATTTCCTGAAGGACCGTGCATGCTGCCCATCCCATAGTTGTTTGATATGTTGTTGTGAGTCCGAGATGGGGGCCCCATCATCCCACCCTGCATGGGACCTTGGGGGGCCATCATGTTCCCTTGGGGTGATATAATGCCACCCTGTGGTGGGGGACCCTGTGGATCCCTTGGACCCATTCCTCGAAGAGGTGGGCCCATCATGCCACCCAGTGGGCCCTGCATTCCCCTGGGACCATGACCCATACTGTGAAGCCCATCGGGGCCCATGTGTCTTGGAGGACCAGGATGTCTCTGCATACCTTGGGGTCCCTGCATGTCTGGTGGTCCCATCATGCCCTGGGGGGGGAGCTGATGTGGCTGAGGTCCTGAGGAGGGTCCCATCTGTCCTGGAGGGATGAAGGGTCCTGGCATACCTCCAGGACCCATATGGGGCCCCATGTTGTTGGGTATCTGCTGGGGAGGCATGTTAAGAGGAAAGCCTTGCTGGTTTGGAGGCATTGGACCTCCGGGTCCACCTGGACCTCCAGAGCTGGGGAAGGGGGGCCCCTGAGGAGGGCCCATGTTACTGTCTGTGTTCATCTGGTTCATCTTTATTTGCTGCAGAGGAGAAAGACAAATTAGGTTGACGTAGTTTCTACCACTGACCTGATGGTGGCAGCAGTGCTGTTCAACTGTTTGGACCCAAGTGGTTTCTAGAACTTTTCTCACCTCCAGCAGCAGTGGATTGGTGTACTGCAGCGCTGCCATTTCCTGCTCGATCTCCGCCTGACTTTTCTTTTTCCCCTCCACCTTCTGCTCCACCTTTCGGTCTTTGGACATGTCTCCGGAGGGCTGCATCATGGGAACTTTGTTCTCCGCCCAGGCCTGTGGAAGTGTGGGAACCCAGTCATTCACAATATGACACAGACAACAGCTCCACCTGCTGGTGAGCAGGTGTTGGTTCAGGCCTTTACCTGTTGGAACTGTGCCGGGATGGGTTTGGCGTAGGGGACTTTTTTCTGAGGCACTTTTTTAGCGTCTCTACCCATGACCTCATCCATGCCCCAGTCCAGTCCTGGGATTGACATCTCCACCTCAGGAGCTGCCTCTTTACCTGGACACAGAGACACCCAGGTCACACTGGTGCGTTCACCACAGCAGTTCTACCACATCTGTCCACCAGAGACACCGGTCAAGGTTCAAAGAGGAGAGAGAAGAGCAGCCTTCAGCTGACCAGTCCCTGACCTCAACTAAAGACCATCTACCAGAGTCCACCCACTACTGCTGCTACAGCAGAACTGCACACTTCCTCCTTCACAGAGGTTCCATCATTAACCAGGGCCACCGGACAAAGGGACTCGACTACTTCCACCTAAGCAGCTGTGGAGGTGGGCCGACACTCACTGTTCTGTTCCTGCTCCATCACGGCCTTCAGCTGCTCTGGGATTCCCATACCGGGGATCGCGGCCAAACTGTTGGGCTCCAGGTCGTCTGAAACACAGGGCACAGTTTCAGCTGTGAACAAAGAACTTCAGGAACGTTCTCCGTGCGTGACTCGCCCCTCACCATACTCCATGCCGTCCTCCGACATTCCAGGCAGGAGATTCAGGTTGTACCGGTCTCTCATTTTATCCCCTGGTCGATTCCGTGTCCAGAATTTACTGGGGAACAAAAACTGTTTAGTTAAGTTTGAGAAAACACGGTGTGTGGACCACGAAGACCACGAAGACCACGAAGACATCCCAACCTGGTGTGGTCGTTGGAGCCGGAACACAGGATGTGACCCAGAGGGTGCCAGGCCAGACTCCAGATCATTCCCTCATGAGCCATTTCCATCCCCCCCACCTCCTTCTCCACCCTGATGGTGTCAACACACAACAACAAAGACATGAGACGAATGTGGAACACAAGGAAACGGCTGAGAGAACACGGAGAACACAGAACATCACCCCGTGTGCCAGAAGAGCAGGGATCCATCAGAACCACCACTGGCAAAAAGACCTTCATGGACCGGGTGCCAGGCCACAGCTGAGGACACAGAAGAGAGACACGTCAGAATGCACCTCCCAGCCGGCGGCCATGATGTCACAGTTGGTGGTGATGTCACTGACCAGTGGCCTCCTTCTTGTGTCCTCTGAAAATCTGCAGCTCCTCCTTCAGGTTCCTGATGTCAAAGAGTTTACACAGGTGGTCACGTGACGCTGTCAGCAGCCAATTACCGTTCAGGTTCCACTTCACCTCCATCACCGTGTTCTTGTGGGCGTGGCTGAGGGGCAACACAGTCAGGGACAGAGATGAGACAGAGAGACGAGACGCTGTCCTCCGACTCTGTTACTCTTTCTGTGTGTGGTTCTGTGTGTGTGTGTGTGTGTGTGTGGTTCCGTGCCCTCACAGTGTAGCCAGACTTTGTCCAGTTTTTGGATCCCAGAACTTGATTGGTTGTTGACTGTCTTTGCTTCCAGAGACAACCAGACCTTTGGTTGGATGCCAATCCACACACTTGACATCAGCACCGTGACCTTGACACAAACAGGGAGATATGTGTGACATCATCACTGACCTCCTGCTGGTGGTGCTGAGTCACTGCAGAGGAATCACGACTCAGCACCAATCCTCAGCCAGACCTGCTGTGTGTTTAACCCTGGGGGTGTTTTGTCACCCCAACTTTGCTGAAGTGCTCGTGCTCAACAAGAGAAGGAGGTAATTGTCGCTTTAGCTTCTGGGGTCTTTAATCACGCCACCAGACTAACACAGGTATTTTTTATCAATCACGCCACCAGACTAACACAGGTATATATATATATGTAATTACAAACAATTCATGTGTAGATATAATTGCAGTTGAAATAAAACGCAACAAGTTCACAGTCAGTACAGTGTTTGGCAGAGACACGAGTATTTAGTATTTAGGCCAAAGGATCGAGAGGTGAAAACAGGATGTAGCAGGAATCACAGTAAGACGACAAGCAGCAAAAAGTGGTGAATCAGAGTGAATGGAATGCTACATAAAAACAATGTTGATGTAACAAATTTAATATATATAAGTTTAGCCTATTATGTAAATATTTCAATGTTTATTACACAAACTGGTGTATCCTGTGGGTATTTTCAAAATAAATGTGATTTGAATTTGAAGTTTTGGTCATTTTTTTCCGTAGTTTCATCAACCAGCTACAATTTACTTTATTCAACAGGGATTGGAGAAATATCCTGAACTAGCAGTACGACCATTTTTACATAAAAATAATATTATGAACATTTTTGTATTGGGGTGTGTAAATGTTTGGCTCGGCCAGCAGACTAACGCAGGGTGTGTTTGTGCAGTTCTACCTCTGAGGATCCGTTCCTCGTGACATCGGAGAAAGTCCCAGATCCTGACGGTTCCGTCATCGGAGCACGTTGCGAATTTATTATCTGTAGGTGAGAAACTGGACAAAAGAGAGATCGTCACTGTGACGTTAGATTCTGACATCACTGTGACCTCACTTTCAGCTACATCACACACTTTGAATCAGTGACCTAATACTTCAAACTCGCCACTAGGGGTCACTAATCCTGACAGAGTGACCCTACTGGATCAGGTCTTCAGACCAGGGTTTGCTCATCTTTAGATGCTGTAGGGTTCTGATCAACTTTAGTTTGTCTCCACCTGGTGGACTTTACACACACAGGCCCAGGTTTAGGGTTGTCGTCGTTGCTGTTATCAGTTCTGGTGGAGCGGCCCAGACAACAGCTGCTCTGGGTCAGACTGAACTTGGGCTCAGGCTCCATCCACCGACGGTGCCTGAACAGAGCTGCAGGTCAACACAGCTCTGTCCCAACCTGCCTGATTGCCCATGTGTGTGTGTGTGTGATTACATGTTGTGTTAGTTAGATCAGACGAGTGTGAGTCAAATCTGTAAACTGGTCCTAGTTTAGATTCACTGAATCAAATCAAAGCCGGTGACAAATGTCCTAGCTGGGACGTGTGTTTCTGACCAGCCAATGAGAGATTAGATATGGGGTACAGACGGAGATTATTGATCGACTCCAGAAAATGACTTGAAGGTCAGTCAAGATTTATGGTGAGGGCAGAGGTGAGGACATGAGAAGGGGATTATGGGAGATGGGTGGAGTTGAGCTGACCACCGCCTGACTCCTACTGAAAGGATGTCCCTCCAAGAGCGGGAAAGGTGAGTGTGGTGACTACCAGCAGAAGGAGTGGTTCTCAACATCTGGCTCCAGACTCACACTAAAAGTCAACAGCCCCACCTACAGGGCTGGTTCAGGAGACATTCTTTACACTGCTGTTGTCCTGATTCAACCCACTCAAAGGTCAATGATGGCATAACCGTCACCTGACCTTTAACCATGACATCAGACCGACAGCAACGAGCAAGCCCAGAGGCTGGTGGGTAATGCGCCATATCAGGGACACCTGAGTAGATCACATCAGCTGTGTGTCAAAGACTCTGGGACAGGTGCATTGTGGGAATGGTGGTCTAAAAGGAGTTTTATTTTTCACAGCTGCAGAAGCCTGTGAGGTCATGACCTTTTTATTGACTTTATTGATCAAAACCAAAGCTGGGATTTTATTACCTGCTCAGAAGATTGATGACTTTATTTAACATCAGTAAGAATATCAACAACAGATCAGTATATCTGCCATTAATCAACCACAGCAGCTGCAGCAAAAGCAGGAGGGAGCAGCGCCCCCCCGAGGCTGACAAAGAGCAGCGCACACTCGGATTAACTACAGAAAATGGGAGATGGAGTAGAAACCTGGCTTCTCTAATGGCCTCCTTGTGAGCCTGGAACATCTTCACGTTGTTCATGTTGGACTGCCAGTACTTGACGAAGCCGCCGTGGTCGGCTGTCAGCATCCACATGTCGTTATGAGACCAGGTCATGGCCCGCACAGGACTGTCGTGGGCCTATGGGGGTCAAAAGAAACAAGCAGGTCAGAAATGAACAACAATGAGATATCAAAGACCTGGACAAACGAAGGACCATAAACGACCAATCAAGTTGCAGCAATAAGATACTTTAAGTACATTTAAAAAGAAACTGCACAGAGGCCAAAGGTCATGTGACAATTTGCGTCTTGTTCATATTGCTGCACCCAACCTGAACTGTCCCTTTTAACCCTGTACCATGATGGCAGTGAACAGGAGGTGGCGCTGGCATTTACCTGCAAAATGGTCTCGAAGTTAAAGGTGAGGCCGTTCCACAGTGTGAACTCTCCACTGGAGGCCCCGGTAACCAGACGTCTGCCCTCGGGAGTCCACTGGATCAAGACAAGACACAGAGTAAGCACCTGTTTGATAGTACCGATCAGAGTAAAGTCGTTCCAGAGGACGGTCTCAGTGTCTCAGTAATTACAAGAGGACAAAGAAAAGAAACAAAACATTCTGTCAGGAGTCCAGAATTGTTTAGGCCAATCCCAGGATCCAAACAAAAGGCACAGACTGCCCTCTGGTGGACAGGAAATGACAGCAGAGCTCACCCTGATCACAAAGACTGGACACTTGACTTTGTTGGTGGATGTCCGGACAAACTTTGTGGTGACAGCATTCATCGGATTGTTGAGCATTCCCAGAGGCGGGACAAGCTATGAGGGAGACATAAAGAGGGTGTGGAGAGGACATTGGGGGGGGAGGGGGAGGGGGTATCTGTGATGATCGTTCAGTGACACTGTGCTCATGTTATTGGCTGGTGTGTGTGCAGTGATGTGTTCACTGACAGCATGTTCTTGTCAATACTAACATCATTGTAGAATCCAGCGTCTGGTTGGATGGCTCTAAGGTCCCGATGGTCTCTCTGCCAAAGTCTGTTCTGCATAGACAAATAAAAGTGATTGGCCACCTGATCAGTCAGTGATACCACTGGGTACCGATGCTAGGACTCACCTCTAGGTACCTGATGACAGAGGGGTTGTAGTCAATGGTTTTGCGGTTGACGGCTTTCCTCATGCGTTTGCCGTCAAAGGTGAGCTGCTGCATGGCCTGCTGCTGAGCAAAGTCCGGCCTCTTGTAGAACACCTGCCGCGGCGCCTGGTGTTGGAAACGCGGCATGTGGAAGAAGCGCTGCGGAGAACCGATGTCTGTAGCCATGGTGACGGTTCACACCTACAGATCAGAGCCACAGTAGGTGGAGGTGGTTCATCTATTTATTTACGTTAAAAACAATTGATTGACTATTAAAACAATTAATATAAATGTTCATCAGTGGCCATGTAAAAATAAACACAATGACAAACAGGAAATCCACTGAAAAATAAGACAAGGAACCTGAGAATAAACTTCACAACTTAAACAGAAATCAAACTTTGATGACGTGAAGACAGGGATCTGGTCAGCACTCTAGATGTCACAGGTAAAGCCCAATGAGCACCTTGTTCAGTTCAGGCTGAGGTGTCTGGGTTAAAGTCATCATCTTCTTAAAGAAACTCCACATTCCTGCACGCGACACAGCACGCACCCCAGACTGGTACCAAGTTCAACTTTGACCTATCACAGCTGAGCCCCATTATCTGACACTCAGTATGAAGCCAACATAGGAACATACTTGGTGCTAACATGGCAACAGTGCAACCCTTATGGACATCAGCATTCGCATGGCAACTAAGCTGTCATTGGATGATCTCAACCACAGAAACTGCCCCAGGCTACCCACTGTACCACAAGACTGAGACAACATTCAAGCAAACAATGGCCCACCGTCCACAAACGTTCTTTGATCGTTCCTTTATTTCTCATTACTTTTTCTGCCAGTCCTTAGCCTAGAAAAAGACAGTGATGCAACAGTGTTGATGTGAAATGTCATAAAACATCATAACTGTTCCACACGACACTGAACTCTACATTTATGAAGCTATATAGAACCTGACACCAACCGAAAGCATTAGTGCAATCACAAAGAGTTAAAAAAAAAAACTAAACAATAAAATAAAGACCAAAACAATAGCAATCACATAGTATTTTTAATGTCCCACAAATGATAAGATGAGGAAATAAGGCCAGAAAATTAGTTGACTTTTACCAGAGTCAATGATAGACAATGGAGTGGACTTAAACTTAAAGGGAATTAAACTAGTAAAGTGAATGAAACCCAACGAGGGCACTGTTCAAAATGTGCTGTGATTGATTCTTTTTTTAAACAAAATGAAAGAAAGAAGCTGGATTGTTCTGAACCCAACTAACCCACAAACACGGGAGCAGAGTCTTGGTGTTGTTTCAAGGCTGACTGCTCAGGTTTGAAAAAAACCTGTGCGTGAGGAGAGCATTACGTTTTAACGTTTTTATGTTCTGGACCTCCGTGAATGTGAAGTTGATCGTTTGAACTTATTTGTGTTGTGGTTGTTGTTAAGAAGCTGAGCCACGAGGTTTCCGATCCTCTGCTGGACGCCAACATTTAGCTAACGTGGAAATACCACGCTAAGATGAGCTAAGTCGACATAACAAATTTAATTAGACATCTGTGCTTATACTTTGTCTACTAAATGTAATGTACACCCCTGGAAAAAAGGTTAAATATAAATTACGTTTCCCCGTCAGTGACCACTCAAAGTTGCTGTTAAAGCAGTTAGCACCAAATGACAACACTGCTAATAGGCTAACAGTCTGAATCTTTTAAAAGGTGCCGACTGGTGATTCCGGATGTGGCCGCGAAAAGAGGCTTAACCGCCGGTTCCTACTGAACTCTACGACCGCGAGGCTGCGCTGATTCGCTTTTTCTCTTCCCGTCCCGATGTACTATACGGGGGCTAATGGCGGCCATACCGGCCCGGTCTACAACTCACCGAAAGACTATGCAGCGACTTTTCTTCGAACGTCACCCACTCTATATAACTGTAGACGGACTAAGTCAGAGTTTTTGCCGGTAGAGCTGTTGGCGTGGAAGCAGAGGTAGAGGAGTATTTAGCCTCCAGCAGGCTCCAGAACCGCCATCACATTCATGATACCTCTTCTTCTTAGAGCCACACAGACGCAGTGCATGCTGGGACGACAACGGGCGGGAGAGAGAAACGTCAACACTCAATGCATTCTGGGAAAAATAGTTATTTCAGATTGCGCCGAAGTAAACATTATTTTAAAGAAAAATAGTTTTTTCTTGACATTTGTCAAAAAGAATAAGAAATAAGAGAATTTGATTTTTTTAATACAATATGTTTCATTGGCAAAGCAATCAAACGATTAATTACTGTGTTCCTTTCAACGTGGGTCAGAAAATATGATAAAATACCCGCAGTGTTGAATCTGTAAGTGTCTGGGGCTTTACTGTGATGTTGGTGTGTGTGATCCAGCAGTGTGTACGAATAATAATGTGTGTATTGACTACGTATCAGAGCAATGATAAATAAATGAATATACACGTTTTAATCTGACATCACACATTTCACAATTTCCCAAATTAACACCATTAATACGTTCACTTTGAACTTTAACGTAATCGTAACGGCAACAAAATAGCTAAATAATAATAATTTAATAATTTGTTGGAAATTAGTTTAAAAATAAACATGTGTTTATTGTTGGGAAAGTCAACATTTCATTAAAGCGAGGAAATGTTACCATCAATACGTCGCAAAATCTTTTCTTACGATCTCATTAATTTCTCATTATTCAACATCAAATGCTTGTCACGTGTCTGCAGCCGTCACTGTACCTGAGTTTGCCAGAGTGACGTCAAACCTGACCTGAAGTCGAGACGGTCCAGAGTGAAGTGCCGTCTGGTCTCCTCCAAACCACCTGAACCTCTCCGCTCCGCTTTATCCCCTCCTCCCTAAGCACGCACCTCCTCTTCTTGATTCAACTCTAAAAGCTCCCTGTCGCCTCCTTCTCTACCACCTGTCAGGTAAGCCCCACCTCCCCTGGTTTTCCCTCCCCCTTTGAGAAGAGTAGCCAATTGACAGCGGATATGGCTGTTTAACGGTGGATTAACGGCCGATTTCCATCAGCTATTCGCTGTTAGCATATGGAGCTAACAGCTGTTGAACAGCTGAGAGTAAATCCAATAAATACCAACATTTACTGAAGTGCAGGTCAGTGTGATCTGACACTGATCAATACTGAGCTGACCGTGTGTGTGTGTGTGTGTGTGTGTATTTTCATGATGAACAGAGAAAAGTCCAGGTGGGAAATAAAAACACAAACATCTGTCCTAACAGTCAATAGTATGAAGACATACTGTTGTCCCACAAACTTCTTAAATCAAATACATTTTCAAACAAAAACAAAATCTGTAAAGAACTGCTGGGCAGTAGCTCCCCCTGTTGGTTATCATTTCTGTTGCTCAGAGGGAGGGGGTGAGGGACATGAAAATAATGTTCAAAGCTGCATCAGTGCCTCTGATGCCTTTGAGTCGAAAGAAGATCAAGGAAGGAAAGACAGGAGTGTTAGCTGAGAGTGAGGAGGAAGTGACAACACAGACATGTCCAAACACAATGTGACAGAAAACAACAGATCTTTCACAAGAAACACGTAAATCATTTTAAAAATCATTAGCTTTTTTTGACTTTACTAAAATGAAAACCTGGGCGACTCCTGACGCTGTCACTCTATTGGTCCGTTCTCCTGATGTGTTTCTTCTTCTTCCTGTTTCAGGATGAAAACCCGCAGCTCAGGACGAAAAGGAAGATCAATGAGACGACGGCAGAGGAAGACGGGCTGGACGAAGGACGAGGTAACGTCGGAATAAGAAAGAAAACAGACAGGGTCAGAGGTCATCGTGTTTATGAGTGTGTGTTTCTCAGGGTCAAAGGTCAGAGTTCAGGCAACGCTGGCCTCAGGTAAAGAATCCAGACCAGGTCAAGGGTCCGTGGACACAGGACGAGGATGAGAAGGTAACCAAGGCGACGCAGGCTTCAGATTTTACTGCCACCCTCTCTGTCACCCAAGTGACAGAGAGGTGATGTCACTTCATCTACAGGTGGTGGCGCTGGTGCAGAAGTATGGTGTCAAGCGTTGGTCGCTAATCGCCAAACACGTGCACAGTCGAAACGGGAAGCAGTGTCGCGAGCGCTGGCACAACCACCTGAACCCAGCTGTGAAGAAGAGCAGCTGGACGATGGAGGAAGATCTGATCATCTGTCAGGCCCATGGCATTCTGGGAAACCGCTGGGCTGAGATTGCCAAGCTGCTGCCTGGAAGGTTTGTTTCAAAACCTTTTTTAGTCAGTCAACCATTGGTCTGGGACCATACTGTACATACACATGCAGTCTGCAGACTGCAGTCTGACGGTCTGTAGATGGCGGTCTGTAGATGGCGGTCTGTAGACTGCATCCTGGAGTCATTCCTCCTTAACTTTACAAAGAAACGATTAAAGTTCTACCTACGTATTTCTTTATTTCGGGACGTACGCCACCTCGGTTGTAGAACACCGGGCTTCAGAAGAACATCTTGCTTCATCTGATATGTTCTTGTTTGGTTCTCAGAACTGATAACTCAGTGAAGAACCACTGGAACTCCACCCTGAAGAGGAAGGTGGAGGAAGAAGGACACCTACAGGCCCTGCACCGCCACAGCGCCTCCTTGGCCACGACTGCCTTTGGAGTCCACCCAGCTGCCATGGACATGGCCTTGGTCTCCACCCAGGTGGACGTCCACTCACCTCCTCACTGCTCCTCTATTTCCTACCTTTTCTGTTGTCGTGCTAACAATGCTGCCGACCTGTAGATGGAGAGCCCGCCCCCCATCAGAGCTGAGTCCAGTGACCAGAACTTCTGTGCTCACTACGTCTGCCGCTGCCCTGCCTGTGGCCCCGCCCCATCGTCCAGTTCCAGCCCCTCGCTGAGCTTGTGCGAATTAAAAGCCTCCAATGAGGTGGTTGCTTCGGTAAGACCCCGCCTACTCCTGATGTCAGGACTGGGATTCAGGTGGTTAGTGGAGTCATGTGACTGTGATGTCTGTCTACCACAGGACAGCGGAGGCCACCGCCCAAAGGCAGTGACATCATCACAGCATAACGTTGGCGTGGACCTGAGCCGGGCCGCTGTAAGACCACCAACATCTTTGACTTCATAACCTGCTGTGTACTCTGCTGACCTTTGACCTCTGTGCAGGTGACAGATGAGAATGAGGGCGGAGTCGTGGAGCCTGTGACCAGAGGGGGCGGGGCTTCCGTGTCCTCCTGCAGCTCCACCAGCCCCATGGTTCTAAGCTTCTCACCATCTGAGGTAAAGACTCTGCCCGCTGATGATGTCACAGGCTGATGATGTCACAATGTCATCAGTCTTCAGTACCGAACCAGAACCACTACACACGGCCGTCTGTTTTAACCTTGACCTTTAACCTTTGATCCCTCATTACTGGGCTTCAGTTCTTAAACCTGTGTGACCTGGACGACCTGAGGTTGGAGCGTGTGAACAGAGAAATTGACTCCGCCTACTTGCCCCCCCCACTCCTGGAGTCCCTGTATGTGGTCCCATCAGTGAGTGAGTCAATGTAACTGTGAGCCGCTAACCTGAAGCTGCTGTGGTGGTGTGTTCAGGGACGGCGTGGACTTCAAAGAGACCTTCAAAGCACTGTGGGCCTCTGCCCCGCAGACCCCCACCCCCCTGAAAATGATGGAGGAGGAGGTGAGTAGGGGGGAGTCACAGCTGTACCTGTAATGTACTGTAGGGTTGTGACCCCTAACCACACACACACACACACACACACACACACCCTGACTCTGTATGTTTCTTCACCCAGCAGGTGGAGCCACTGTTGGATGATGTGTCAGTCTGACCCCCGACCTACAGGGGTCACTGTTTAACAGAACACTGAAGAAAACAATTGGTGACATGTCTGTGTTGCAACACTGAAGAAAACAATTGGTGACATGACTGTGTTGCTCAGACTGACTGACTGACTGACTGACTGACTGACTGACTGATTGATTGATTGATTGATTGATTGATTGAGTCTTCAGATCCACATGAAGACAACTTTTTGAAAAGAACTTTGATGTATTTTTTTTCATTGACATCTTGTGAGGTATCAATCCATCATTAGAGTTTGTCCCTTGGAGCTCAGGTCAAAGGTCACCAAATTTGAAAAGAAAATGGAGAAGGAGGATGTGACAAACATAGCTTCATGTTAGCTTCAGCTGCTAACTCCACATCAGTATTTAACTTTAACTAGGTTACTGAGTAAAAGCCCTACGAAAGCCTGGCCTGAGCCTAATGGTGATAACCAGTTGAACACCAGTTCTGCCAATACTTGTTGATAGTTGGAGTATTAGCTGCTGCACGTTAGCTTAACATCAGAGGAAATATTGATTGGGTTTCCTCCTTCCCCCTGTCGGGCAGCGTCATTATATATTTTCATTTTGTTGAACTTTAAGTTTTTAAAAAGTTTTAAAAAACTAAACCGTCTGGAGAGAGACAATTTAGTAAAAGTTTATTTTTAAAACTCAAAGTTTCTGCATTATTTAAAATGTTTTTCTCAGTGAATGTATTTGACTGAATTAAACAGATTTACTTTTTAAATAAACATTTGTTTGGCCTCTTCTGTACCAACGTCAGCAGCTGAGGAAACAACAAACGGGACTGCTGTGAAATGATGCTCCCTCTAGTGGTTGTTGGAGGGAGTGCTGCTTCAGTAAAGCTTCATGGAGGCTTCAAACAGACCCATCAGGTCGTCCTCGGTGTGAGCCCGGGGTGAAAGTTTGGTCACTCGCTCCTGAAAATAAAAGCTGCTTTTTAACAATTTTAAAGCGCTAACGCTAACGCTGCTAAAGAGCCGAAGACGTTCGGCGGGGGGGGGGAGGGGGGGGGGGGGGGGAGGGGGGGGGAGGGGGGGGGAGGGGGGGGGGGGGGGGGAGGGGGGGGGAGGGGGGGGGGGGGGGGAGGGGGTGAGAGGGTGAGGGACGTCAACACACCTGAGGGATTGTTCCTCTCACCAGAGATGGGATGTCATCTGACGTGTAACCAACAGCTTGTAGTCCATCCTCCACCTGCAGGTCAAACAGGAAGTGACGCAGTGTTTCGGACAGAACAGCGCCCGCGTCTGTGCGCTTCACTCGCCTCACGTCTGCACCTGAACGCATCAACGTCATCAGAAACTGTTGAAGGCGTCGCCCCGACCATACGCTCACATCAGGTGACAACATATGAAACATGCTGTAAAGGTGGGACCAAAAAACCCACTGAGCTATTACCCAGAATCTCAGCTGCCTCCAGGTGGCGCTCTGGACACATGGGGGCAGTGAAGCTGAAGACAGCTGGAGACGTGAGGACAACAGAGAGACCGTGAGGCTAGAGGAAAAAAATAACAATTAAAAAGTGGAAACTAAAATCTTACATTATATTTTAGTGTATTTTCCTCACTTACCACCAGGGGGTGCACCACACTGTAACCCCTGGCTGAGTGAGTCTTCACATTCCCAGCTATTGGATAGGACATCCCATGACTAAAGAGAAGACAGCGTTTATATCTGACATTAAAACATTAAACTTGTACCAGTTAGCTCAGTACGCTAACAGCATGATTAGCCCTGTATGTAGAGTAGCCGTTATTGGTGCAGCGCACTGTTCTGAACGCAAAGGCTCTATGAACTGAATGAACCTGCTCATCGCAGTCACCTTAGCAGCTAAGGCTACAGGGGTTTAAATGCTAATCATGTCTAGATTAACAAAAAAGTCACTGGTCATTCAGAATGTTTAGGTTCTCACCACAGATGGACACCAGCATTCCCAAAACCTATTCCCGCAAACACGCTGGCCAGGTGCATGCTGGACCGAGCCTCAAAGTCCTCCGGATCCCGGACGGCTCTGTAGACGCACAGACGGATTAGTCAAGCCAAGCTTTTCAGTTCTTATGGTCCTGGTCCTGGTCCTGGTCCTGGTCCTGGTCCTGGTCCTGCACTTGTACCGTTTCATATACTTAGCCACCACATGGAGGGCATGGCGAGACCAGACGTCACTGATTGGGTTGCTGCCCTGGTAGGCGGGGCGTTGGATGGGGTTGGGTGGGCAAGGCTTCCTCTGGTTGAAAGGTAAGGCGGTGTATGACTCCAGGGCGTGGCTTAGGAGAATCAACCAATCACAGAGCAAATGGTTTAATCACTCAAAAGAGACAAAGTGCTCCCTCCTGTGGTCAGGAGGTGAACTACAATGAATTCCCAGTGTACTGGACATACACAAACAGAAAAGTACTGATGCTGAACAGACACTTTAGGGACTAGTACTGATGCTGAACAGACGGACTGACCACAGGACATCAAAGCCGCTGTTCGCGGCCACTCTTTCTGGCATGCTCAGTGTATGAGTCGGGTCCACGATGCCCAGAGTCGGTCGAATGGACCTGCTGGCAATACCTGAACACAGACAACCACTCAGACGTCGGACCAAAGAACAATAAGACAACCAATCAGAGTTGAGAATAAGCTGTGACGTCATCGCTGACCTGTTTTTGCCTTCAACGGCTCATAGTCAAAGATGGCGACCCCCGTGGTCTCACTGCCAGTTCCTGCTGTCGTTGGAACTTTTCCAGAGAAACACAGTAGTGAGGTCAGAGGTCAGAGGTGGGACAGGTCATTGTTTTGCAGGTCACAAGTAAGTCTCAAGTCTTTGCCCTCAAGTCCTGAGGTGAAAGGTGTCATGGACTGTGGTTCAGACTAACTTTAACTTCCTGTCTGTCAGGAAACTACAGCACACGTTTGTTGTCGTCTTTGTAGGCGACTAAAATAGGCGATCTACCGTGTGATACGACCGCCTCGTTATCACCGCCTTCATGATGTGACGTCATTAGTGATTTGACGAAACAGTTCAGAAAAATGACTGAAGTTAGCTTTCGTTTAGAACGTACCGTTCTGTGTGCAACTTCTCCTGTCGGAAAAAGAAATGTGAACTGATAAAACGGGGCGGAACAACGGATCCGCCCTGGTCCGTGTCTGGCGTTATTAAGGACCAGGTGTTGTTAAGACGGTTCAGGTGACCGTTACGGAGTGCATGACCGGAGGGCAGGTCATATGGTCAGAGGTCAGAGGTCAGACACTGCACTCAGCAGCTACCTGCTATGAGAGGCTTCACGGCTCCAGTCACTGCTTTTCCTTTTCCGATGGGAGCGTTGACGAAATCCAGGAAGTCGGCGTCGGGATGACAGGAGTAAAGATTTGCTGCTTTACAGGTGTCAATCACAGAGCCGCCGCCCACCGCCACAAACACATCAAAGGAGTGGGTTTTGGCGAATGCAATGGCGTCTTTAAAACTGGAACACGAGCCAAACGTTGAACACGGGGGAAAAAAACGTATCAAAATAAAATTGAATTAAAATTAAACATGAACATGAGAAAAGATTTCAACGTTCACATTTCCATCTTTGTTGTTGTCATTTCAGAAACCAAGGCCGTACTGTGACTTACCTAGCATCTGTGGGCTCCACTCGGACGTTGTCGTATACTTTGTACTTGACACCAGCCTTGGCCAAAGAGTCCAGAACCGCCTTCACCGGAGGGAGGCGGGACAAGTTCTTATCCGTCATCAGACAAACATTCCGGGCCCTGAGGTTCTGAAGGTCCTGTAGGACGGCCTTAAGATTCAGCCTCACAACGTACAACAGTGCGTTCAAACTGTGGGCTAACATGCTAACTGTACTGACAACGGACAAAAAGACAAAGAGGACATCGTCATCATCTTCTTCATTTGACCAATCACAGGCTTCATCGCCTCCTTTATAATTGTCTTTGTCACAAGAATGAAAATGGAAACAAGAATGAGCATGAAGATAACAGAGAAGGAGGTGAAGGAGAAGACGTTACCATTCCAATCTCTCTGCTGACTCCTGGCCCATATCTGATGTTAGAACTGGCCATCTGACAGAAAAACACAGGCTCAGAGCCAGAACACTGTGACAGCATTTTATTAACTGTCTAATCTGATCTAATCTAATCTAATCTAACCCTAATCTCTACCTCTAATCTCTCATGTTATTTCTAATCCACTGTAAATCAATCAGATGTCATCTATCACTTTAGAATATAATCGAAGCTAAATGTGAAATCTAATTTCTAATGTGACATAATCTTGTCTCTAATCCATTCCAAATGTATCCGCTCTAATCTCCATCTTCAATCTTGTTCATCTCACTAATCTGACCCGTCCGTGATGTTTGCGTCACTGACCTCGAAGGCGTACTCTGTCTCTGCGCCGCTGCTGTTCTCCGCTGCTGCTGCCGCGGCGACGACAACGACGGCCACAGGAGACACAGACGAGTCACTTTATTGTCAGGAACTTTTCTTCGTCTCAACATCATTAGATCTTCTATCAAAGTTCCTCTCTGAGAAGGTTCTCCATGATTTCTTAGTACAAAAGTACAGCTAACCTGGTTTAGTTAACATTTAACATATTAACCACTCCTTTCAGTTATTCAAGGTGTGTGTGTGTGTGTGTGTACCTTTGTAGAATGTGTTGGAATGAGCAGGACACCTGCACCTGTGTGACACAAAACAGCTCATTTTACTTCATTCATTTGAACTTAGTGATGAGGCTGCAGTGGATCAACAACTGCTGAGTCTCTGGTCTGAGCTAAAATCTCTGATTTTCTCCATGGACTTTGGTCTGAACTAAATCTCTGATTTTCTTTATTGACTTTGGTCTGAACTAAAATCTCTGATTTTCTCCATGGACTTTGGTCTGAACTAAATCTCTGATTTTCTTTATTGACTTTGGTCTGAACTAAAATCTCTGATTTTCTCTATGGACTTTGGTCTGAACTAAAATCTCTGATTTTCTCCATGGACTTTGGTCTGGACACATGGTTTATCGGTCAGTGGTCCAAGTTTAACAGAGTGTAAAACCCAAGGACAGTAGCCAGAACCCTCTTCCCTCTCACTTACTAACCGTCTTTAACTTGTTTAACCCCACAGGATCATGGGTTTCAGAACTTTAGCGCAGAATCTCCTGTGTAAAAGCGGGTAAACACGTCACGTGTCAAGTTCAACGTTAAAACGGTCAAACTTACGCAGCTCGCTCCAGCTGACGAAGCAGGTGAACCACACGATCCCGACCTGGACCTGCCATAAAGTCACAGAACTGACGAACCGCTACCGAGTTCTGGGACGGGAATAAGTGACTCGAAGCAACTGGAGTTTCTGGTCACGTGATCTCCCCGGAAGAACGGCCTCTATGTGTTCCTTTCAAAGTAAACCTCGGACGTAATGATTCGATCATGGGTTTACGGTGCTGCTCATCACTTTCACAGGGAAATGTATATTTAATACACAATATATAAAACACAATATATAAAACACAATATATACATATATGTATGTGTTTTATTTTTCTGATTTCAGTCTTTTTAAGTTGTAGTTTATTGAAATCATTGGTTTTATCTCTAACTAAGGTTTTAATAATCATAATAATAAAATAAGAGCATCAAATATCCATCTTCTGTGGTGCATTCCTAGTACTAGACCAGGGGTCACCAACGTGGTGGCCGGGGTCACCTGGTAGCCCCCGTGGAGTACCTGTTCTCAAACTAGTCAACAGGAGGGTGAATGGGTTCAATGACGACGGTCAGAAGAAGTGTCTGTTGTTGTCGGTCCTAGAACTGATTATGAGGACATTGTTCTGGAACTCTGTTTTACTGAGTGTCCCTGAAGTAGCCCTGAGTTTCAGAAAGGTCGTGACCTCTGTGTTCGAGAATAGACAGAATATCTGTGTATAAATGAATATATTTAAACAGATGATGTGTGTGTGTGTGTGTGTGTGTGTGTGTGTGTCTGACGGTTTGAAGTTAAAGTTTTGTTTCTTCTTCCCTCCGCTCAGCAGATGTGACATCATCGTGTGTGACATCATCGTGTGTGACATCATGACGTCAGTAACGTTCACTGTGCTTCACTGGCTACAGCAGCAGGAGAAACGACTTCAGCACGTCTCCTGCAGGGGGCGTCAGACCATCAGAGACAAGGTCAGTGAACAATTCCAAGTCAGATCAAACATGGCCGACTCGTGTGGTTTGTTTGTTTGTTTGTTTGTTTGTGTGTGTGTGTCTGTGCCAAACCTGCTGCCTTCACATCATGTTTTTTCTCTGCAGCAGATGAAGGTCACACAAAGGTCACACCCCGGTTCACAAAGGTCACCACGATCTACAGCTTCACCACCACCACCACGGGTGGCCAAGTACTGCTTGTCATGTTTGGAGAAGAAGGTTCACAGTGACGGAGATGACACATGATGATGAGCGACCTCAGTGATTGGTCGGGGCTTGTAGCTCCGCCCCCCCAGCTCCTCAGCCCCCTTCTATAAAATGGATCTTCTGATGGACTTGATCAGTTCCACAAACCTCCTGCTCCTCCTCTTGATGATGATGATGATGATGATGATGATGAAGATGTTCTTGTGGTTCCTGGTTCTCCTCACCCTCCTGGTCCCTGGTTCTCCAAAGGCTGAAGCTGCTGTTTCTCCTCTCATCCTGAGGCATCGACCACTGCTGCTCCACCTGGACCAGGAGTTCTTCCTGCAGCTGAGAGGAGCACACGGTCTCTCCTGGTCTGCTGCTGGTTCAGACGTCCTCTCCTCGTCACCACGCTCCACTGTGGCCCAACGGGAGGAGAAGGAGGCCACACAGAAGACCAGAAGATCGGAGGAGTCTCCCATCTCCCTGGACCTCACCTTCCATCTGCTCAGAGAGGTTCTGGAGATGGCCCGGGCCGAACAGGTGGCCCAGCAGGAGGTCCGAGCCAACCGCAGATTGATGGATGTCTTTGGGAAGTAGAGATACTCCCTACTTCCTGTCACATGAGCGACACCAGTGTCAAGGACTAGAACCAGTCTATGAGCAACAGAATCTTCTGCTCCTCCTCCTCCTCCTCCAGCGTCTCCCACTTCTTCTTCTTCTCTCTCCTCACTTTTCTCATTTCATGTAGACCAACCCAACCTCTGGTCTGGACCGGGCAGGTTGATGTTTGACTTGTTGCCATGGAAACATCCTCCGTGACATCATCTCATCAAAGCTGCTGTCTAAGGATGACTCTGTGATTGACAGCTGCAGTACCCCTGCTGGCCACTGAGTATTACTGCCACCTACTGTTTCTGTTTGTCATGCTTTACTGGTTAATGAATGAGAAGATGTCACATGACTGTTGGTCATGTGACATCTTCTGAGAGGCAAAGAAAAACATCGTTTTTTTTGAAAACCTCTTTTATTTGAGACATTTCAAAATAAAAGCATCTTCACGGAAAACGATCTAAAATGTTATGTTGTTAACAGAGTCTATCTGGACCAGGTCTGGACCAGGTCTGGACCAGGTCTGGACTAGGTCCGAGTCAAGTCCGGGTTCTGATTTGGTTCTGTGAGACTGGTCCAGGGCTCCTGGTATCACTTTTGGTTGAGCCAACTGAAGGAAAAGACATGTTTGGGTCCATCTCTGTCCTCAGCTTCATTCTGCTGATCAATCAATCAATCAATCAATCAATCAATCAATCAATCAATCAATCAATCAATCATCAATATGTCTTTACCTGGGGGGCAGAGCTGGAAGTTGCAGTGGGTGATACAGTGGGCAGGGGCTGGGTGGAGGGGGAGGGGCAGGGGGCGGGCTCTTTGGTGTGTGACGTCACAGTGGGCAGGGTTTCTGAGGGTCTCTGAAGGGGTGGAGCCAGGAGCTGAGCAGGTTTCACAGGAGGCTGCTGATTGGCTGCAGCTGCTGTCACTTTGGACTCCGCCTCCTCTTCGTCCTCGTCGTCATCCTTGTCATCGACTAACAGGAAACAGTGTTAGCATCGAAATAAAAATGTGTGTTTAACATTTCCTGCTCCTTTGATCGTGTCACTTCCTGTCACCTCTGATGAAGTCCACTTTGCTCAGCACTCGTCTCTGATGTTCAAAGTTGGCAGTGAAGTGGTCCATCTTCTCGTAGCCATGTTGGATTTTTTCAAGGTGGGAGGTGTTGGTTCCCTCCATTATCCTGTCCAATGGTTAGACAGTGTTCAGTGATGTCATGAGTGACATCACTGAACATCAACAAAGTCTGGTTGGGTTTAATACTCACTGCTGCAGCAGAGGTTTGGCCGTCTGCAGAAGAAGAAGAAAATCATTCATTCTAATTGTTATTCATTAAAACCTGAGGCCCTTTAAGATAGCTAAGGGTTAGCTAAGGGTTAGCTAAGGGTTAGCTAAGGGTTAGCTACGTATGTGTTAGCTATGTGTTGGCCAAATGTTAGCTAAAAAAAAGCTAAAATCATAAATAGCTTTCAATGGTTTATTCTACAGTTTTTTTTTTTAATTTTGTCAAAATGTGACATGACATCATCACCAGGAAGTGGTGATGATGTCATGTCATGTTACGGTGACCTCAGCTTGACGAGGTCACCTTGTCTACACCTGGTCCCACTGACCAGAAGGAAGGCAGCCATCTCAGACTGGTCCAGGGTCTGGATGGTGGTCTCCAGGAGCTTGGCCGTCGTCTCCAGGTGCTCACTGTACCTCCTCCTCAGACCTCGGATGTACTCCAGCTTCTCCTCCTGCTCCGAGCTGATCCTCACAGTCATCTGGCTTTTCTTCTCCTCCAGGAGAGCGAAGATGTGGTCGAAGGTTTCACACACCTTGGACTTCTGTCTGCTGCCGTTCTCCTGTGGAGCCGAACAAACCTTCTGAACTCCTGTTCCACAACTTGGTACCAGGAACTTTAACAAGTACTTTGGTACTTCTTAAACCAGTACTTTGGTACTGGTTTAACAAGTACTTTGGTACTTTGGTACTTGTTAAAGTTCCACTACAGTTCACTGAAGACCGTACCAAACAGTTCCAACAACACCTGGTGGTTCCATTAGCCTTCACAACCAACAGTTCTATAAAAACAGTTCTGTTTGTGGACCAATGAATGATACCAGGCTTCCACCAATCAGGAGGCTGTGTGCTTCAAGCCCCGCCCACATGGCTTCCATTCTCCCTGATGTTCCCAGCTCTGGATCAGGACCTGGTACCGTCTTTACTTCCTGGTACATTGTCTCAATACATGTCTTGTAGTTCTACCATAGGAACCGACCCAATTAGACAGAAAGTCCAAACAGTACCAAACAGTACCAAACAGTACCAAACAGTACCTCCACAGAACCTTCAAAAATACATGACAGAACCTTAGGAACGTTCACAGAGTCTGGACAGAACCCAGACCAGTAGCGTTCCTCAGACAGTACCTCCTTCTGTAGATGAAGCTCAGGCGGGAACTCACATTGACAGTTCTGCTGGTCTCCTCTAGGTGGACCATGACGGCTTGGATCCTCTCATTGTTTCCAACCAACATGGAAATACAGTCAGTAAGCTCCGCCTACACACACACACACACACACACAGACACAGACATGGTCAGGATGACCCCTGTGACCTCTGGTTCTAAGCCCATGAGCTTCACCTCCGTCTCAGAACCAACGACCAGCACTGATTGGCTGGGACGTGATGACATAACAGTAACAAGAAGAACCTTTTGTTTGTTGAAGACGGTGTTCAGTGGCGCCACCTCACAGTCTTTGTGCGGTCCAAAGACTTTACAGAGTGAACAGGTGGGGGCGCTGCAGGTAACACAGTAGATGTTGATCTTCTCCTCCTCATGTTCTTCACACATGGGCTGCTCCACTTTCACTGGAGGACATGGGGAAAGGGGGGGGGGGGGGGGAGTGAACAGAGGACAGACACTGGCCAAGACGGACGGAGCGTAGCTGGAGACCGGGCACAGACAGGAGTGGACATTATTGTTAACTGTCATCTGTGTCAGCGTCTTGGTTTGGACTTGGAAACAGAAGTGGGAGAAGATGATCGGAGGAGTTTAGGAGACATCGTAGGACGTTAGATTAGGGTCAACTTTCACCTAACTTTACAGCAACGAACTGTAGTGGAGGACAGACAAGGGGAGATGAAGGAGCCAATCAGAGTGAGGGACAGGAGAGCATCATCAATGCTGTGTCCATCTGCTCCAGGTAAACAAAACCACCAGCCATGACTTTTAGGTTGTTGTTTCTGGTTGTTTTTTCTGGTTGTTGTTTCTGGTTGTTGTTTCTGGTTGTTGTTTCTGGTTGTTGTTTCTGGTTTCTCATTTATTTTAAGTTTTTTTCTCTCTGAGTTCTGAACAGAGGCTCATCGCCCTCTACTGGCCACTTACTGTCACTATATGAGGTCACAGCAGGTAACAAAACACAGGGGAAACCCTGAAGGTGGACCACCAGAACTGGACCACCAGAACTGACTACAGCCCTGTGTGTGTGTGTGTGTGTGTGTGTGTTACCTGCTGCCCTGCTGCTGCTTGTACATGTCAATGATGTTCTCCACCAGCAAATTCCTTTGCAGACCATAAACTCCATGTCGGTCCAGCACGACCTCATGTCGACAGGACGGGCAGCGAAAACGACCACCAGAGGTCACTGTGGAACTGCCCCTTGTTGACAAGTAAGGATTGGATGCCTGGAGAGGGGGGGAAGTTTTTGAAATGAAAAAACTTCCTACAACGCAGACATGGAGAAAATCAGAGATTTTAGCTCAGACTTCAGGAAGTTCCAGCAGGAGACGCGTCAGTAACAACAACACACAAAATGTCAACAACTATAACACAAAGTAGGACTATTAAACCGTTGTGTCCTGAGTTGCAGCATCCCTCCCTAACCCGCAGGGGGTGTCCTTGCTCACCTGGAAGATGTCGTTGGCACACTTACGGCACAGATTGTGCTGACATGGCAGAATGACCACGGGCTTTGTGAAGATTTCCAGACAAATGGGACAAATAAGCTGCTTTTCTAGAGTCTCCATGTTCGCCCCGACCGACCGAGTGCACCTTCCTCACCTGGGCAGCAGAGGACGCCCTTCCACACGGGACGAGAGTGAAGAAAAGGAAGAAAAAGTGAAGAAAGCTCAGAAGGACTGCGTCAGGGTTATGGAGCTGTCGCTGTGCGTGTGCGTGTGCGTGTGCGTGTGACTGAGTGTTTGTTTCTGTTTTTAGAAGGCGGCACGTCAGCTGTTGCTGTGGCAACGTGCCCTTATATGTCAGAGGTCAAGAGAGAACAGGAGGCACGGACATTCTTTAAAGGGGCAGTTTAGAGACTTACTGAGTATCTCCCCCTGCTGGACAAACGCAGTGACACACACAGATTCACACAAACACCTGTCAGGCTGTTGTTTTAAACAAAGTTTAATTTGACGTTAAACACTGTGAACACACACACACACACACACACACACACAGCTCACTGCACTACAGTTAATAAATGAAATAAATACATAAACAAAACTTCAACGATTATTTACACCACAATAATGATGTCATTAAACCACACCCTCGGATTATCAACTTCAACCAATCACAGCATTGGTTTGGTCACACAGGAGAAGAACCTAAATCTCATAGAGTCCCTGAAGGCATCAGTGAGCTTCACTGTCACAGCTCATTTCCTGTTTCCTGTCTCATGTGTAAGTGTCTCCGTATCTGCGGTGGCCGTCGCTGATCAGCTGAGTTTTCTCGCTGGCGTTGGTTGGCTGTTGAACCATCGGAGTCTCTGCATCTGTGACAAACACGCAAAAAGACCGTGACCTCACCACATCATCATCACCCTGTTTGAATTTCATCAGCCATGACCACAAGAGGCAGCAGAGGACCAGCAGCTGCCGACTCATGCAACACCTAAAAACAACACTTCTCACCCTGCTCCGGGTCGTTGCCTATTTCTTCCTCCAGGTCGTCAGGTGAGACGTATTCCTGCCCCGCCCCGTCTGCACTGGACGCCGGCCTGAGTTTGCCGCAGCAGCAGTTGCAGCAGCAGCAGAGGCAGCAGCAGCAGTAACATCCAGTCAGGACTCCGCAGACCAGGAACAAACCCTGGAACACAAACCCGGGGTCACCAGAGGCCCCGCCCCCGTCACACGGAAGACACGCCCACTCACCTTGGCCCACCAGGTGGACAGCATGAAGTAGGTGTTGACGTTGTCCTCGCCAAACTGTTGGGCCACATAGAGTCCCAGAGACCCGTACGAGTCGTAGATGTTCCTCTTACTGAGATCGGACAGGACGGCGTGGGCGGAGTTCAGCTCCTTGAACTTCTCCGCGGCCTCGGGGTTGTCCGGGTTCTTGTCAGGATGGTAGCGCAGCGCCAGCTTCCTAAAACAAGTCAAAAGTTAGGCAACGTTAGCGCTGCTGCAATTAATTGGTGTCGGAGCAGTGGGCGGGGCTTGTCACCTGTACGACTTCTTGATGTCGTCATGGCTACAGCCTCTCTGCAGATCGAGGACGGTGTAGAGAGACTCTCCGGACGTGGATAGACTTCGCTGCCTGGACTCTGACATCCTAACACCATCACCTGACGGGAGGACACCACCCCCCCCCCACTGTGCTCAGCAACAGCTAAATGTTGGGCAGTAAAAGTAGCTTTGGAAGTGCTAACAGTAGTAGCTTCACAACAAACTTTTGTCAATAGTAACCATCATTTTTTTAAACCAACGGCTAAAGTCGGCCATGAGAAGCTACAAACAAGAACTAGCTAACGTTAGCATCGAAGCCAAAACTAAAATTCATGCAGTCACAGGAAGTAAAACCAATCGATTTAAAGTTAAAACAGCTTGAAAACATTTGACGGGGAGGTTGGCCCGAGGTTAGCCAAGTCGCTAGAGTTAGCTTATAATGGCTAAAGATTAGCCGAACCAAAACTACAGCCTAAAAGAAGTAACTCAACAACAAAAACTGTTGGACCGTTCAGGTAGAACTGGTTCACAGGAGCTGCGGTTATCTGGTACTTTGGCTCCGCCCACATACAGCAGCCGGAGAGTCCGGTCCACCAAACAGTCAACAAATGTCCAACGAGACCTTGGCCTACCTAGGCCTGGACCTCAGGGGCCAACACCAGGTTCTCACAGTGAACGGTACCATTTGGTGTATCAGGTTCTGAGGCTGAAGACGTTTCTGGTCCTCAGTGACCGACCAATCATGATGATGGAAACATCAGAGCCTGTGCTTACCTGCTGAAGCCTCCTAAAGTCTGGACCTGCCCAGGTATCTGGTTCTGGATGGTTCTGGTTGTGAAGGTGTCTCTGGTCCCTCTGCTCTGAGACCTGTCTTCTTCTCCTGCGGCGTGTGTCTCTGAAGAGTCCATTAAACATTCAGCAGAAGATCAGGTGACTGCCAGTCTCCCCTGGTGCTCGAGTTTCACTGGCACCAGTGGAGCAGACGTGTGGAGCACCTGGTAGTCGGACCAGTTTGGTCCAGATCCAGTACTTTTTCAGAATCAACTGAATTTGTGACATTTCTAACCCAGACTTGGTTTTTGTAGCTGAAAAGTAGTCGACCAGGGAACACAACATATCTGTGTGTGTGTGTGTCTGTGTGTGTGTGTGGTTACCATGACAACCAGTTACAAAGGGTGGGGCACCCGACAGAAGAAACAGCGGGAAAGTCAGGAAGAATCAGACTTTTATTCACATCCTGAATTATTTTTAAGCCAATAAATGAACTGTGCCTTTAAAGGCCACGTGATTGGTTACAACAGGTCAGGCTCCACCAATCACTGCTGCAGCTGCAGGTCACACGGCCAACTGCATCTCAGAATGCTCGTCCTGACCCTCGCCTTCCTGTAGGTGGAGCTCCGCATCATCACTGTCGAGCTAATGGGACAAAGGTCAGAGGTCACCGTCTGAGGTCAAACACCCTGATGTTAGCTAACCTCTGCTACACTGTTGTTCTTCCTGTTTGTCAAGGTAGACTGAGGTGCGCTAAAACGGTTAGCTGCTTCAAAACGACTCAAACCTGTCAGCAGATACGGAATCATTGAAACAGCTAGCAGCTAGCTAATGGCTAATGGCTATTGCTAATGTGTCTGTGACTTCTTTGTTCACTTCAGCTTCAGCTTGGAGTTCAGCTCATATGTGGCTAATGCTAACGCTAACAAATTCAGACCTAAAGAAACAAAGAATAAAACTCTGCAGAAACATTCTGAACAACAGGGAGGATGGGGGGCGGGGGGGGGCAGCTGTCCCCCTGGAGGACCACGGAGGTTCAACAGGACATAAACACAACATCACATGAGTGTCAGATAAGAGAGGGGGCGTGGCTTACGCTCTGCAGCTCCTGGTGGTTGAAGAGTCGTGGTAGAAGGAAAATCCTCACTGGAATTGTTAGCAACAGTACAAAGGGGAACGCCAGCGCCGCCGCAGTGGCCATGACAAGCCACAGGAGGGACAGACAAATCAGCTGGACCAGGGTGAACAGGTGCATCCTCAGACTCCGGACCTGCAGGGACAAAACCACGTCATCACCAAATCGAGCCAAACAGAACCAGGAGGGGCGGGGCTAACCTGACGAGTGTAGCTGTAGTTTGGGTGGTGCTTCGACGGCATCAGCAGCAGAACCAGCCTCTCCGTCAACTGGATGCCATTCAGTGACATCACACCCATGTACAGGAAGATCCCAAAGAGGACGGCCAACGGTATCTGGCGCAGAACGCCGCCCATCACGATGGACAGACCTAAGAGGTGGTCAGAACCAGAACTAAGAGTTAGGAGAGCGATCAACCAATCCTCCACGGAACCTTGAGGTCAGGTTCTCCTGGACGTACCGACTAGAACAGCTACCAGAAAACCCGTCATCCGCTGCTCCAGGACCTTCTGGATCTGGGGCTTGACTCCAGGATCCGAGGTTTTGCTCATGATGGTCAGGGCGTTGGTATGAGTGACGGAGCGCACGGTGGCCGCCGAGAGCCACGGCAGTCCAAAGAGCGCCGAGACTCCGCCCAACAGCACGATGACGAGAAGATCCAGGTGAAACCCGGTTCCCTTCACAAGTTTCCTCTCCTTCTTACTGACGATCAGTCTGAAAGAACAAAGGTTTGGAACAAAGAACGTTCTGGACCAGAGCCGGGTCTGTGGAGCAGGAGAAGAACCTACGCTGTGATCTGAGACTCCATGAAGATCAGGATGAAGACCAGGACAGCCGGCAGAACGCTGGCAGCCATCATCCAAACAGGAAACTGTCCGTCCGACCCCAGAGGAGAAATCAGCCAATCCCGTTTCTCCGGACTGGAGACGGAGAAGCCACTGGGAACGCTGAGTTTCTGTTCACGAGAACCAACTTTAGAACCACGTCAGACAAGGTGTCACTGGGCCACGGTCAGTGGGTACCAGGAAGTGGGTCAGTTGGCAGTGGGTCAGTTGGCAGTGGGTCAGTTGGCAGTGGGTCAGTTGGCAGTGGGTCATGGGTCGTTTGGGAGAAACACATTGAGGACACCAGACTGGACTGGACTGGACGTAGGACCCCAGCCCACAGGGGTAGTGGGTCAAAACAGGACCCCTGCCCCTGATCGTGCTGGTGTTGCTGGTGTTGCTGGTGTTGCTGGTGTTGTGCTGGTATCTAAAGTGGTGAGGACCAGGTCTCACCTGAGTGAAGGTGTCGTCCACGCTGTAGTCCACCAGGACCATGATCAGGATTGAGATGGGAACGCCAAAGTCTCCGATGATCCGACGCAGCTGAGGACACAGTCGGACTGAGTTACACATCAACCAGTACAACGCCACAACTTTAGTACCAACGTACGAATGAGTACTGAAACTGCAGTTTCCACTAAATACTGCAGCTGGTGCGGTTCTGAACACTGTTGGTACATAAACCTATCGGTACTAGCACTGCCTCACAAGAAGGAACAACGTGCGAGTACTGATCCTGTACATGTGTACTTGTAAGTACTGCCGAGTACCAATGCAGTTTTGTATCATGTATTCATGATCAGTGCAGTATCAACTACTGACCCTCCCCGGGAAGAAGGAACTGTTCCTGAACATGCGAAGGTAGAAGGCACTACAGAAGGTTCCGGTCATCAGAACCAGGGACAGTAATGCAGTGTTGGGTTCCCCGGTGATTTTCCCAGAATTCCCGTCCCCAGCCGTGCTGATGTTCCAGGTGAAAGGAGTTCCTGTGGTGTTCCTTCGACAGCAATTCTGGAGAGGATGTTCCTGAAAGATCTAGAAGAGACCAACACATGACCTGGACGTTCTGCCGTCTGTCACGGGGGTTCTGTTGGACCTGGGCTTCACCTGAACAAGTTTAGCAAAGGTCTCGTAGATGAAAATGAGAGAGATGAGGAAGGAGAAGATCTCCTGAGTGAAGCGGGAGACCAGAGCAACCAGGACACTTCCTTCAAAGGCCACCGTCAGAAGAACGATAAGAACCAGCCAAAACCCGATCCAGACCCGTCCTGTCAGGTAGTCCACACCATTGACCCTGCAAAACTACAGACACACCCCGAGTCAGTGCTGAGTGATGAGGAAGGAGAAGATCTCCTGAGTGAAGCGGGAGACCAGAGCAACCAGGACACTTCCTTCAAAGGCCACCGTCAGAAGAACGATAAGAACCAGCCAAAACCCGATCCAGACCCGTCCTGTCAGGTAGTCCACACCATTGACCCTGCAAAACTACAGACACACCCCGAGTCAGTGCTGAGTGATCCAGGGCTGAGGGTTCCCCTCTCCTCCAGGCCGATGTTGAGCTCACAGAGTAGAAGGCCTCCTCGAACACCAGCAGAGGACCAGAGAAGCCAATGACCAGCAGAGGCTGAGCTCCAACCAGGCTGAAGACCGTTCCCTGCACGGCCGTGGCCACCATCAGCTCAGAGACACCCATCAGACCTTCAGTCTTCTCCGCTGTGAGACAAGGACAGGTAAATGTCTACATCTACAGACCCCCACCCCGAGGAGTCCAGGAGGTCCAGGAAGTGCTGCTCTCACCGAGGAGCCCCCCGAAGGTGATGGCCGGTGACAGGGCCGCAAAGTAGATGAAGATGACGGCGGCCATGCACTGAGGGTTGAGGGCGTCTGTGATGTCACTGAGGTACTGAGGGTAGCGCCGAGTCACGTCTCTTACGAGACCACCAAACAGACGGCCCGAGCGCTTGAGGTGGTCCTCCCTGGGTTTGGACGGACCGGGGGAACCTATCGGAATGAAGACCAGGACGTTCAGAAAGATGAGGAGCCCTCTAAAGAACCAGACGGACAGACAGACCAGGGACTAGGAGACAAAGTCTGACTCAGATACAGACGAGGGCCTACCATCCTTCTGTGGACCAGCGCTGACCTTCTTCTGCTCCTCCTCCTGTTTCTGTGGCGTTCCTCCTGGAGACTGATTGGCTGAGATCTGCAGCCCAGCCTCCTCCTCCTGCTCGCTGCACTCCAGTAAACGGTCGATGGTGGCCAGCAGGTCCTGCTGGTTGTCCACCTGGTACATAGCCTGGTGGAAGCGCTGAGACCATTGAAACAGTAGAGATTAAAGACGGTCAGAACCCAGAGAACCCAGAGCACCCAGAGAACCCAGAGCACCCAGAGAACCCAGAGCACCCAGAGAACCCAGAGCACCCAGAGAACCCAGAGCACCCAGAGAACCCAGAGCACCCAGAGAACCCAGAGCACCCAGAGAACCCAGAGCACCCAGAGAACCCAGAGCACCCAGAGAACCCAGAGCACCCAGAGAACCCAGAGCACCCAGAGAACCCAGAGCACCCAGAGAACCCAGAGCACCCAGAGAACCCAGAGCACCCAGAGAACCCAGAGCACCCAGAGAACCCAGAGCACCCAGAGAACCCAGAGCACCCAGAGAACCCAGAGCACCCAGAGAACCCAGAGCACCCAGAGAACCCAGAGCACCCAGAGAACCCAGAGCACCCAGAGAACCCAGAGCACCCAGAGAACCCAGAGCACCCAGAGAACCCAGAGCACCCAGAGAACCCAGAGAACAGCTGCAGGAAGTACCGTGTCAGACATTAGTGTGGAAATGGAGCGTCCAATCAGGTGGTAGTTCAGGCTGCTGGTGGGCGGTCCTAAGAGGAGGAAGAGGAACCTCACAGGGACAGGGACGTCCAGAACCGCCTCCAGAAGAACCGACTCCTGCAGCCTGACAAAGGCCACACAGGGACGGTCCAGGCCGTCCAGGCTGCCTGTGGACACGGAGGGGACACAGGACGGACACAGTCAACCTTCAGCCGTCCAGAGGACAACAGAACCGACGTAAAGGTGCGTACCCACGAGAACCAAGGTGGCCTCGGCTCGCTCTGGACCCCTCTCTGACAACTTCACCCCCTGGTGGCAGAAAAGAACATTCGTCTGGACACAAGACTAAAAGAATCTCAGAGGTCACATGAGGTCACATGAGGTCACATGAGGTCACATGAGGTCATCTTCACTGAAGGACATGTTGCTGCTCTTCACACACACATGGTACACACAGGCAGAGGTCCAAGGGCCTACATGTCCTGGTACTCAGCTGACCTGGTCCCTCTGGGAGGACAGTGGACAGTGGACAGTCACATGACCATCTGTGTCACTTTACCTTCTTCTCTTCAGGCTCTCTGTGGTTGGACTGGGCTTTGGAGGGCTCTGATTGGCTGCTGGACCAACCGTCGTCCTTCTCATCACGCAGACAACTGAAGACCAAGAGGACAGATGTTGGAGAGACAGATGTTGGACAGACAAATGATTGACAGTTTGTAACAGACCTGTGTCTCAGGAGGATCAGATTCTGGACCAGGTCTCTGTCCTGGTCCTGGATTTGCTGGGACCTGACCAGCTGACGGACCACCTGCTCTGAGATGCCCTGCAGCGTCCTCTCTTTCAGGTCAAGGAGCACGTCCCCTACGTACACACATTGATGATGTCACTTTTATCACCATAAGGACGCTCGCGGCACAGCGACCCCTGCTGCTTACCCTGGGTAATGGTCCTCCTGAGCTCCAGCAGCGAATGGAAAGAAAGTGGGGACAAATAGGGGCGGGACTCCGCCTCCACGGCTCCCTCAAACTTTGTCCACCGAGCCGTCTCCTGCCACTGGAGCTCCTGGTTCCTGTTAACCACCAGCTCCTTCAGTTCCACCAACACCTGAGGAGGACAGCATGAGGAGGACAGAGGAGATCCAGAGGTTACTGCAGGACAAGAAGAAGGAGACGATGAGGACACACTAGAATGACATCAAAATGTGAGACGGTCCAGATGAAGACAGAATGAAGGACAGCATGAGGAGGACAGCGATGAGGAGAGGAGGAGAAAAATGGAGGAGGACATCAAACCCTGAGGACATGTTCCAGGCTGTGGAGAACCAGGTCCAGTCAGCCTCACCAGACCAGACCAACCTGTGGAGAACCAGCATCCATGGTCCAGCTGTGAGCCGTCCTCAGGTCCAGACCAACTGTCCTGTCCAGCACCTTTATCACAGTGTCTTAGTCTCTCACACTCACAGTCCCAGTGCGTCTCACCTGCCCCCCCCCTCAATTAAACCCCCCTCCATCAGTTAACTAAGCTCTGGGATCAAACAGATTAGACGTGCGTCTCCTCTTTTGTCCTCCTGTCTCAGGTGTTTTGGAACATTTTATCCCTAATAATGTCCTCACGTTACAGCGTGAGAACTGCTGGACTTTAAGACACGGTTGACCTAGCTTAAAGGAACATGCTAGCCTAGCTTAGCATAAAGACTGACAGAAGGAGGAAACAATCAAACCTGCTGAGTTGTCCTGTCTGTCTCTGTGCGTCTTCTGCGCTGGTCACTCATTGGTCCTTTGGTGGTCTTCATCTCCAGCTGATCCTGTGCAGCAGGACCATGGTCTGGTTGATGACCTGAGGGAACAGGGGGCGCTGTGATCAGTTAGAACCTGTATTTGATCTGTGCTGTGATCTTGTAATCCACTGTGCAGCAGCAGGGGGCGCTGTGATCAGTTATTTCTGCACTTTCTTGTCAATTTCTTCACGTGTTGTAGACACGACAGGACAACATTAAACAAATAATGGTGTTCTGAGCGAGAGCTAAGTTAGACTGAACTAAACCCTAGTGGACAGTACGGTGTATTACATGTGGTCAGGTATGAGCAGCAGTCAGGATGGTACGGTCCAGAGCACTCACTCTGTTCACAGTGAAGATCCTCCGTGTCCAGACTCCTGTCAGGACCTGGACCTTCCGGATGCTTCTGCTGCTGCGCTCCTTCGTCACCAAGGCGACATATTGGTGGGGGCGGAGCCAGAGGCTGTGACACAGAGTGAATACAACCGCCTCATGAGTGGACGCCACACGGGCCTCGATGGTCTGTCAACGTACGTCAACCACTCACCACTGAGGTCATGGCTTCTGCAGGGGTCAAAGGTCAGCAGCTGTGGTCAGACAACAGGCTGTGCATGTCAAAGGTCAGAGTAGAGTGAGCTGTTTACACACACACACACGCGATACTTTCGTTTTGGTTGTAACTGAAGTCCAGTCTGGACCGGACCCTAGCTCTGTGTGTGTGTGTGTGTGTGTGTGTGTTCTCACCTGGTCAGGGCTGTGCCTTCATTCACACACTCACATCTGCTGCTGCCTTTATATACACACCACAGTCCATCGGTGTGTGTGTGTGTGTGTGTGTGTGTTCACACAATAGTCATTATCTCCTAAAGCTCTGAGAAAAGTGTGAGAACCTAAACACACCATCATATGAGAGTGAAGACTGTGCTGAGACCAGGACCAGGACCAGGACCAGGACCAGGACCAGGACCAGGACCAGGACCAGGAGTCAGAACCTGAGGTTCCCGTCCAGATGAGGATGAGACTGGACTAGATCAACAGACCAACTTTATTCATCCACGATTGAACATAATACAGAAAATCATCATCAGGAAGGTGTGTGTGTGTGTGTGTGTGTGAGAGAGAGAGAGAGAGAGAGAGAGATCATGTGACTCCTCTTTGTTTCCTCTCACACAGAGTTTTTCTTCTGTAAATCCACAGTAAACACCAGTTAATGCAGCAGCGTGGGAAACACTAGGAGGCGCCACTGTGTGTGCGCACAGACAGTGGAGACGGTGAGGACACAGTCCACAGACTGTCAGTCCTTGTTGGTCTTGTCCTTGGTCTCCTGCAGCCTTCTCCTCCTCTTCACCTCCTCCAGACCGTCCAGGATCTGGTCCACGGTCTCCTGGTCTTGGACCTGATGAGACAGACTCAGAGCCTCCTGATAGAGACGGAGCGCCTGGTCCAGACGACCTGCTGGACCGCAGACATGGTCAGAGACCGTGATAGAGACACACCATCAACACCACCTCTGCTGTGACCCCTGACCCTGACCTTTGTGCAGCAGGACCCCTGCCATGTTTCCCAAAAGTCTGTGCAGGTCTGGATGTCCACTTGATCGACTCAGCTCCACCGCCTGCTGGACCAGAACCAGGGCCTCGTCGTGGAGACCTCGCAGATCCAAGACTGTGGCCAGGTCATTCATCAGGACCAGGGTCTGAGAGAGAGTCATGACATCACAATGACATCATCAGGACCAGGGTTTGAACCACACCTGTAAAGTCGGACCCCGGTGTGACCTTGCGTCGGTACCTGCGGGTGCGTCGGTCCCTGCTCCTGGCTGCAGATCTCTAGCGCCCTCTGGTAGTCCTCCGAGGCCTCCTGCAGACGCAGGGACGACGTTCGATACCGGGCGCGTGAGTCCAGACATAATCCCAGGAGGAGGCGGGTGTTTTTCCTTTCAACTTCCTGTTCATCTGAGGACAGGAAGTAAAAAAAGATGGCTCTCAGCCACACCCTAGACACAGTGATGACATCATCACTGACCTGTTCGCTCCTCTTCTTTTAGCGCCGCCTCCTTCTGCAGTTTGGCCTCCAGAGACTCCATGCAGAACCTGAAACCGTGCTCAGCAAGCTCCGCCCTTAAAAGGACAAATGAACAGTGGGTGCCCAGCAATCTACTTCCTGTCTGCGTGTCACTTCCTGTCATGGCAGATAAGACCTGGCGGCTGCCCTCACCTGTTCTGTTCAGCGTACATACAGGACAGTTTCAGAGACATCTCCACCACAGCGTTATGATCCTGCAGAGGAAACAGGAAGTGAGGTCACACACTGTACACCCCATTAAGGCAGTATAAAGAATGCCCCCCCCCCAGACTGACCAGAGGCGCTCCTCCCGCCAACAGGAAGCTCATGGCAGCTTTAAACAGCTTCTCTGCCTGTGAACGCAAACGGGTTTTCACAGTGGGAGGTCGTCAGCGGCAACGGAGCTGCGCTGTGATTGGTGGACACTCACCTGCTCCAGTTGGCCCTGCAGAAAGGCCAGGTTGGCCATCTGAAGAGACACAGGGCGTGGGTTACTGTTTGTCCCCCCCCCCCGGGGGGGGGGGGGGGGGGGGCAACTCAGGAGCCCGGGGAGCAGTGGGTGGGAACGATGGACTCGAACCTCATACCTTCTGGACCACCACTGCTCCTAACATGTGGGCGTGGCCAACACTGTGGGCGTGGTTACCTGGATGTAGGTGTAGACGACGGCCTGGTGGTTGTTGGTCTGATGGGCCAGAGCCGCGGCCCGATGAAGAAACTCTGACGCCGCGTCGAAGTTTTCACCCTGGATGTGAAGCTGACACACAAACAGCAGTGTTAGGGTTGGTACTGATCCAGTAGAACCGATCAGTACTGATCCTGTAGACTACGCTGACCTTTGCCCTCTTCAGCAGCAGGATCAGTTCTTCTTCTTTTTTTTCTGCTTCATCTTCCTCATCACCTTTGGACCTGAAGAGAGAAAACGCTACACACACACACACACGTCAGTTTGGTTGGTGACGTCATCCTCTCAGTGACTCACTGTGACACAGAAGAGCTCTGAGGTGGAACCTGGTCTGGAGACCACACTGTCATCATCATCATCATCATCATCATCATCATCTTTAATAAAATCTAATCCAAAACGTCTCGTACTTTCTATTCTCCTGCAGTTGTACACGCAGTTGTACACGCAGTACACGTACTTTTTATGGATGTACTTTAAGTACAGATAGTTTCTAAACCCGGTTCAGAACTTTATGGACGTCTGTGTAACTCCACCTGCTGCGGTCCACAGCACCGCCGCTCCTTCCTTTCCCGTTCGTCCTATCGCCGTGCTCTGGAGTCTTCTGACGTCATTTCCTCTTACTGCTCTCCAGGCCGGGAGTCTCGCCATCGACGTCATATAGTAGCAGGTGCCGCCGTTTATTCCCCTGAACAAACAAGTCAAACATTCGTTTTTAACCGTATGTTTGCAGCAGAGTCACACGACGTCACTGCGGGTTACACCCACCTGAGGGCGGCTCCGACCCGTCTCAGCGACCTGAGCCAATGTCCAAATCCTGCTGCAGCGCAGAGACCCACGGCGGCCATGTTGACTGTTGATATCTGGTGGACCGGATATGACGCGTGGTCCGTCGCGTAGCTTCACGTTCCGTCTTTTCCCCAGAGCGTCTGTGACGTTTCACGTTAAAATCAGTTTGTGTCTTGAAAAGGTCTCGCTCCTCATGACGTCATCTGGTAAATCTTAGCTGCATTTCTAACACAATGAGTCAGAAATAATTCAAGTAAAACATGACAAAACTCAGAGTTGAAAACATTCTGGTGTATTTGTTGCGGCAGTGTTAAATAATCCTGAACCTCCGAACCGCTGCCCCCTGGCGTTCACCACTCTAATCTGCAGGGATGGTGCGTTTAACGACCGTAGGATAAATGGTTTTTCTTCAGTAGTGTGTATCAGAGTGTTCTGTATGACAGGGGGAACCATATATTTAGAATCCAACCAGGAGCCAATCACATCAAACCATTTGATTTGTATTTGTTGTGTTGGACCACTTCAGGTTAACAAGGTTATTCATCTTTTCAATGACTTGAATGTTGTAGAGTCTCAGAGCAGGGACCAGTGTTTTGTTCTTTTTTATTGTTAACGTTAGTGTTGTTTGTTCAACGAAGACAAAAAAACAGAAACTGAAGACGAACATCACACAGTGTTGTTGTCACGGTTTTAGCCCCGCCCACCTCTTTGGCCTGTAGCTAACAATCACAACATTAGTGTTTTCATGTTCAGTCATGTGACCGAGGCTGCCCTCCAGCACAGACAGTATTCAAGCAGCAGTAAGACAATCACATGACCAAAAGGGGCGGGGCCTAATCCAGCTCTTCTCCTGCATAGTATGGGCTGAAGAACCTATTAACAGCAGCAGAACTCCCTCCCTGTGGCTAATGCTAAGCTAACTTTGTGCATATAAAAGTGCGTTTGTGACAATGTTCAAAGAAGTGGAACCAACACTTGTAGCGTTTCTCTGGCCTGACTGCCGCCGCAGTGCCACCTGCTGACGACTACACCCCGGCATCACAGTGGTTGCTGGTTGAGAACCAGCGTCTCTACAGCTCGGTGTCCCGTGAACCTCTTCAGGTGGTAGCGCAGAACTCCTTTGGTCTTGAAATTCTTGCCGCAGTTGCAGACGTGCGGGCGCTCCCCACTGTGGTCCAGCTGGTGGACGCGGAGCAGAGAGCTGGTGAAGAAGAACTCCCCACAGGTCAAACAGTAGTGGTTCTTTTCCCCGGTGTGTCTGGACCTCTGGTGGCTGAGCAGGGAACCCGAGGTGATGAAGCTCTGGCCGCAGTCCTTGCAGGTGAACGGTCGCTCGCCGGTGTGGATCCTCTCGTGGGCCCTCCAGGAGTTGTGGTAGGAGAAGGCCTTGTCACAGTAGGAGCACTGGTAGAGTTTCTCCTTGGTGTGGCTGAGCCGGTGCATCTTCAGGTAGTGGGCGATCGTGAAGCTCTTCCCGCAGTCGTCACAGGTGAACGGCTTCTGGCCCACGTGGAACAGAGTGATGTGGGACTTGAGGTGAGACGACTGTGTGAACCTCTTGCCGCAGGTGGTGCAGAGGAAGGGCCTCTCTCCGGTGTGGGTCACCATGTGGGCCTTCAGGTGGGGGGACTGGGTGAACCTCTTCCCACACTGGGCACACTGGTACGGCTTCAGGCCGGTGTGGGTGCGGTGGTGCAGTTTCAGACCCTGGAGGCTGGAGAAGTACTTGCCACATTCGGTGCAGTGGTAGGCCTTCAAGTCCTCGTGCACCCTCATGTGGCAGTGGAGAGCGCCCTGCAGCTTGAAGCCTTTCCCACAGGTGTGACATTTGTGAGGCTTCCTGTTGGAGTGCGTGGCCTGGTGAAGCTTCAGACTCTGTGGGTTGCTGAAGGTCTTCAGGCACTTGGCACAGGGCAGCAGCTTCCTGCCCTCGTGTGTCTTGCAGTGGAAGTTGAAGCCCTGATAGGAGACAAACATCTTGTCGCACACTTTGCAGTTGTAGCACTTTTCACCTTTGTGCAGGTCCAGGTGCTCATGGAGCTCCCCCTGCAGGTTGAAGCCATCACCACAGAACCAGCACTTGAAGGGTTTGGTCCCAGAGTGGGTCCTGTGGTGGGTCTTCCAGTCTCTCTTCAGAGCAAAGGTCTTGTCGCAGTAGGAGCACTGGTAGGGGTGGTTTCGGTCGTGGACCTGCTGGTGGACGACCAGGCTCATTACACTGGGGTAGATCTTCCCACACTGCCAGCACTCATTGGGTTTGAGTCCATCATGGCTCCTCTGGTGAGCCTCCAGGTGGGACTGCTTGTAGAAACCTTTAGCACACAGGGGGCAGTAGAGCATCTTTCTGCCTGCGTTGGTCAGACACTGAGATGTCCGTCTCTCACTGTTATCTGCTGGAGGTCAGAGGTCAGGTAAGAGGGGACTTTCAAACTGCTCACAAACACAACGTGTGACCGTCCAGACTCTTACCCAAAGACAGAAAGTCCCGCCCCTCCAGCCACGTCCTGCAATCAGTCAGACTGACAGACAGCTTCTTGAGGACAGGGTACGTTTGGATCTCCACCTCCACCTCCTCCTCCACCTCCTCCTCCTCTGGTTCAATCTTGATCACAACATCTCTGAGATCCTTGGCCACATTCTGGAACACAAACACCTCGTCAGCAGCTCATCTGGATCTGCTATAGGGGGCGGTGCAGAGTGAGTCAGCGGGGAAAGCTGTGACTGACAGACGAACGACTCACTGAGCTGCTGGAAACTAAGAACACCACTGTTTTGAGTCGTTCACCTCACTAACCTCACATCCCTTTACTAATGGAACCAGTCGGTTCATCATTTGTAGCTGTTTTACGTTACAGCGACGCTAATTCCTGCTAATACGGCAGTTTTGCGACATTTAGCAGCGGTGCTTTATGGCAGCGTTAGCACCGTTGGCTTCGCATATTGACACCACAGTCACTGGAGTAACATAAACAGAGTTTTACCGACGCAGCGTCGCTTTTCATCCCGCTATTCGGAGCTGAATCAGGAATTTCACTGGTCGGCTGGAGACGGTACCACTGCTGTAGAAGAAGAAACACTTCCGGCAACAGCTTTACCGGTCCTATAGAAACAACCAGGAAAACGCTGCCACCAAGTGGAGGAACGACCAAACTGATCATCTGTTCATACACGGGTCACAGTGCTGTGAAACTATGACAACTTACTCTCCCACTTAAGGGACATGCGCCGCCGTAACATGACGTCATCTGCCTGCGCTCGGTCCTCTTCAAGCTGAGCAGCGGAAATGATACGATCTCTTACCGTTTGTTTTGCTTTATTTTCCTTTTTAGTCATTAAACAATGACAGCCTTTTCCTGGGACTGGACGTTTCTGGAGTAAGTCCCGTTTGAATTCCAAACAAGTCTCCGCCCATTACACGTCCAATTTAAGGCCTTAAATACATTTGTAAAAACCTGGATTAAACTCGTTCATTAAGACAGCTGTGACGTCAACAATAGAATCAAATGGATCACTTTGATGGTATAAATCAAGTTTTATTGTTCAGAATCTCTGTACACCATCCAGAAAGACGTGGCACGGATCCATGTCCTGAAAAACAAAACAAAAGTCACCACGTGTGCAACACCGCAGTCACATGACCTCAGATGTTCCGTTCTGGGATCAGATCAACGCTTCGGTCCTTATTTGTCACAGCGCCACCGCGCTCAGAACTCACTGCCCGACGGTGGCGCTACAATTCGGCCTTTTGTTTACATCATTTCCCAAGTCTCAGACGCCACACACACACACACTCACCGTCGGCATTTAACACAACAGCTCCCCCTCCGGGTGGTGAAGTGCTCCCTCTAGTGGAAGAATCAGAGATCAGAGTTAGTAAAGGGGCGGGGCCTCAGCAGAGCTGTTCAGGTCAGAGCCTGCATCAGATTCTGCTTCACTTAGTTCTAATCACTGCGCCCTCTATCCCCCGTGAACAGACTGCAGGGGGCGGGGCTTCAGTCGGCCTTTTTTATCATCACATCCAGACTCAGGATCACAAGCTCACAAGTCATGACGTCTCACCTGAAGGATGTGGTTGTAGTGGATCCAGCTGCACACGACTGGAAGAGTCGAGAAATATCCTGAAGAAAGACCAAACACCGTTGTCACATGACCACACAAGGTTACAGTTTGAATTAGTTGATCATCTGTGAACGTGAATAAACAACTGGGAAACACCTCGACATTGTCTCTTCAAGTTGGTGTTTCTCTTTTCTTTATTAAAAAGGAGTTGTGGTTATTTATACTGTCTAATAAGTTGGTTGTAGACTGAGTTTATGCCATTGTTCCCGTTTCTTTGTTTAAATAAAGAAAACTCGGAGGACGGCCATGTTCTTTTTCCCATGATGCACTCCTGGAGCGTCTCGTGCCTCCAGACTCTGAAGACAATGTTGTCTAAATACAATGAAGATATTATAAAATCTCAAACCCATAGAAATGCGTCGCTAACACTTAACGCTCTAACTATTTAAACTAGTAGGTCTGTGTGGTAAACACAGTCCCTCATCGACCTCCACCGTGAAAGCTAAAGATTTCAGCTCACAAACAAAGTCCTGAGAGAAAGACGGTGATTTCACTGACTTTCATGTTTAATTTGATACGAGAGAAAATGTTTACGGTTCAGGTTTTTACCTTCTGTTTTCGAACTCACCGTTTGGTTTTCTGGAGCCACGGGAAAAAAAGAAACCGTTCCGTTTCTGAACGCCGTTTGTGAGTGTCCTCGTGACGCCGTTCTGTTCAAATGTCCTCTGGCCAATGAGAGCGACTCCTTTATATACCATCCTTCTTCTTCACGCTTTTAACGGTGTTTCAAAACGCTTTGTTGCGTTAGCGCCACCTCTGGCTGCAGGAAGCTAACACTGGAAACTTTGACATGAAAAGCACACATTCGAACGACATTGTATTAAATATTACGTATATCAAGTTTTATCCGTTTATTTTATTCACACCATTTGTAATTTAAAGATGCGTGTTCATAAACACAGAACCTGTCGTTGTTCATCCATCGGTCCAGGTCGTGTTGGATACAATGTCAGCTACAAGTTTGAAGGTGCAGTTTATTCTGGTATTTAGCATTTGTCAGCACTGAGCATGTCGCTCTAAGCCTAACCTGTAGGTGACGCTAAGAATGCGTTTAGAAGAATGCCGAACTTTTTCAACAAACAAGAGAGGGGGCCCTTGGTGGGGGGGAGGGGCTCATAGAAACAGAGTGAATGACCTGTGGGGAGGTTGAAATTATGCTGCGTTTGTTAATATTCCCACGTTGTCCACCAGGGGGCGACAGACTGTTTCTAACCTGTGTCTGTTGAGCACAGTCACTACTTTAACTCTCGATGTCTGACCAACATGGTGGATTTCCCAGAATCCTCCAGCGTCTGATGCCGACATCTCTAAATATCATTGTTTCTGATCAACCAATCAGCTCAGCTTCATCATGTCAGTCATGTTTTTACCCCCATGTCACACCATCACAGTGATTGTGAAAATACAGTGGTACCTACTAGTACACTGATGACCCGCAGTTCAATACTGCGCTTGTGTACCGCTAAAAAGAAAAGAAGGAAAAGAAGCTAACGTAGGCTAATAAACAGACACAGGCTACAGGTTCAATGCTGCAAACACAGAAGACCACAACAACCTGACAGACGCTGACGTGCACCTCCAGAGGACGTGCACCTCCAGCTGAGAAACATAGCGTGGACAGATGTAACGTCTCCACAGACGGACGTGTGTCAGTCAAGAGGCACCTGATGAAGAACAGCTGTCACATGAGCCACAAACTTTCAGCTAAGTCTCCATGGCAACAGTCAACTCTCTATCAGAGGTCCAATCAGGACGCAGCTCAGCGTCTGTAGACGCCAAAGGCCACCAGGCTGATGAGGATGGTGACGCCCACCAGGGAGGCCGTGGCCGGCGCCGTGAAAAACTGCCGGTACTGGATCTGACAGTACCACAGCACGGACAGCATCAACACCAGCAGGGGCACCATGAGGCTGCCCACGTTCAGTGCCACCTGCACCTGGTCCGGCCCCTGCCGAGGCCCTGCTGGTGTGGCCGTGGAACTGCGGGGGGTGTGCTGTGAGATGTGGCAGTGCAGGACACAGTTGTGGCCCAGGTTCAAGGACTGGAGAGTCTGAGCGTCGTCCTGCAGCAGCTGACCCTGGTAGATCAGACGGATCTGCTGCTCCTGACCCGGGAAGTAGGTCCTGGAAGAGCACAGGTCCAAAGGTCAAGCAGGAGTACAACCGTGTATGAACAGTACTTCAGCAGTGTGTAACGTGTACAGTAGAGTGTATAAAGTACTGCAGTACTGGTACTTCTTGTTACCGTTTGATGTAACCGATGGTGTCCTGTGGTTGGACCTGAGCCATGGTCTCTGTGTCGTTGAGGAACTTGAGTCTGACCACCATGTTCCTCTGAGGTGACGGAGAGGCCCCGCCCACGGCACACCTGCCCCGCCCACTGTCCTCTCCCCTCTCATCTCCGTCCTCTGCCTTCTCCTCGGGGACAGAAACAGCAGGAGTTTCAGAACTCAGCACTGATGAAGAGGAGTCGGTGACATCACTAACGGCTGATGTGGAGGGGGCGTCTTGGGGGGCGGAGCCAGTTCTTTGTGTAGGGGCGTGGCCTGTGAACAGGTGCTCTGAAGGCTCAGAGGTGCGGGTGGAGATCCAGGCGAGGAGCAGCACAAAGACGAGGAGCAGAGCAGCGAAGAGCAGCGTGACCTCGTCACCTACGCCTTCAATCAGAGCCATCGCCCCCTGCTGCTCAGCACCTACGCCTGCACCAGGCAAAGGCTGTCGTCTGACCTGAAGGACACGAGAGCACAGGGACGGGATTCAATCTGTGTAGGTTCTCAGTTCTCCAGGTCATGACCTCTGAAGACGGACCAACTTTTCAACAAGCCCAGCTACTCCAGTTGGCTACTACTACTGAGTACTTCTAGGAAGTAGTTTCCATGTGACTATCGTGCTGTGCTACAGTAGCGTCTCAATATTAGAGTACATTATTAGAGAGTACTCCATAGTACTACCATGAAACTTCTGTTACTGCATACTGTACGACTCATGTGTTTGATGGTAGCTGTGTAAAAGTATAATAGGACAGTGAAGTACTAGTACAAGTTCTCCAGTGGAGTACTGTGAATACAGTGACAGAACTGGTATGGAGTACGTGTGTATTAAGGCACTTCAGTATTGCAGTTTTTAAAATAATAATTATTAAAGCCTTTAATTGTGACACTACTTTGGTGCTGCACACTTTCACATAACGAAACTGTAGTATAAAGTATAAACAATACTTTAGTATTTTGCCTCTCGTCTCTTTTTAGTTCGACATGACCAGAGTAAAGGACTTTACTTCAAAGGAGTTAGCTCTACTTCCGTTCTCACTGCCTCGTCGTTCCAGATGTTCCTGTCAGTCGCCCAGGATTTCCCTCGACTTTAAGACTGCAATGGTCTTATGTGGCTACAAAAATCTATTAACCGTCGACCATTGCGACTAATCGATCAACGTGACCACACACTGCGAGCGTACGACTGAAAACTGGGTCTAAAACCTCAAACAAATGGAACGGAGCTAAAAGCTAACGGCTAACATTTAACACAGAGTTGATATCAACCAGTAAATAATAAAAAAAAAGTACTGACATATTAAAACAAAACAATGAAATAGAAAACAACCCACAGTTTAGCTGGGAAACATCACAGCACCTTACCAACAGCGAAGTGCTAACAGGATAAGCTGTCACCGCTTCCGCTTCCGCTTCGTCTTCTTCGGCCGTTGCTTAAACGACCCTTACTGTTGGTTTAACAAAATGTATAATCTTGCTAAAATAATAAATAATAATAATAATATCTTGTTGAGAAAACCTGAACACAAAAAGGAGGAACATAAAAAAAGAATCACTTACAGTCTGGACTCGGACCAGTTTAATGTGAGGCATGAACTTCGGCCACTGCTCCTCCGTCTGGCTGAGACATCCTGTGTTTTATGTCAAAACCTAATGTGGTCTAAATGAAAAGCTGCTGCTTCAACATTGTTTCAGCCTGATGTACAGCTGTTGCCATGGTTACCACCCATGGTTACTAACGTGTGCAGCGCAGACCATCCTTAGTTTGAAAGTGTTGTCATTCAGGCTTCTTATATTTATATATAAGAATATATATATTTGTATAAACCACTCCATCTACAGTGCTATGTCAACAGTGGTAACATTATATAAAAATATATTTATTTATCTCGTTGTTTAGCCTTGAACACAGGAACAGTCCGTTCTTCTCACAGCCAGAACCGGAAGTGTTAATGAACACCTTTCAAACTGGGCCTTAGTTCGACTGTGTTTCGTATAATTTACTTGTTCATTTAAACATTGTTTGAAGCACAACTGTACAAAAGAAAATGTACAACAACGTGTAAAACTGGTCAATCAAAAAGTCACGTTCTCTGCAGTTTTTCTGCGGACTTATCGTTTAACGTCGTTGCATCAGCGACTTTCAAAGTAAAAGTCTAATTCACCAAAATCATGGTTTGTTCCTTTAATGTGGTACAACATCCGGGGAAGAACACACGCACACAAGATCATTTTTAATTCAAATTTAATTCTAAATCTAAGAAAACCACATTTGAACGTTAATAATAATATGGTGTTCCTGTACGGGCCTCCCTGGACCACAGAAACTCCGAGGACCCTGGCTCTCCACCGCCGGCTCTGGGTGCTCTGTCGGCGGACAACAGAGTCCCGCTGCTCTTCAGCTCTCAGGCCGAAAGCCGAGGCCCAAGCGGCGGCCAACGACGCTCAGCTCGACGGGGTCCCGTTCCTGCCGTTTTGACGAAGCCAGAACCGGATCCAGACCGGCCTCTAGAGCGTTTTTCTCCGCGGTCTCTGATTTCATCCTCCGCCTTCGTGCTCATGTTTTGCCCCGGAGTTCCTCCCCCTGCGGCGCTGGGCGGAGTTTCACACCGGAGTAGACGCTCCTTTTGTCGGATACGCTTTGACTCGACTCCCCGGGGTTTGGGACTCAAAACCACACAGTCGAAAGCAGCAGGAAAAGTCCGGACGGGTCCGGGGTGTTCGGTGCTCGTCCGGCTGTGAATGTGAGGCAGCAGGTGAGCGAAAATCCGTTTTTGTAACACCTTTCTACGCTTTTTTTCGTTCGTTTTTCCACCGAGTGTGGAGGGAATTCATGGCGGCCTCGCAGTGAAGGCTGGTGGGTGAGCAAGCAGACGGAGGGCCCGCCATGCAGCTAAAGTTCTGCTGTGTTGGCATTTCCACAACAACATTGATTCTTATACAGTTAATAAATCAAACCACGGCTTCAGGTGGAACCAAAGACCAAAGGTTCTCGGCCTCGTTCCTCTGTTTTGTCTCCTCAGCGGGGAATCCACGTGTCCGGTTCCGGTCGCTGTTTTCGCTAATGCCTCAAAACAGTTCGGGGTAAAAGTGCTTTTCTGTGACGGTTCTGATTAGGAGCTGACACCCTGTAGTCAGAACGACTTCTGCAACTGAACGCACGTCACTACCGGACAGGAGCCACTGCTGAAGCCGCGCAAAACACCGCTGCTGTTTTCTACTTTGTTCCGTTTCTCGCGGTACCGCAGACCTGACGTCATAAGCCAGCGTGGGTCCATAATGACCATTAGCTCAGGTCCAACACAAAGGTGTTCTTCTTGCACTGTGGTTCTGAACTGGTACCGTTTTGTTCTTAACCATAACCGAGCTGACAGTCAGTGCTGACATCCATGGCTTCGTTCCTCTGATCATTTTTACTGTTTTGAGGTTTTCGGTGACAGCAGCGCCCTCTACTGGTGTAACGTCCACTCCTAAGCGGGTTACAACAACGTTTTTTTTAGGGCTGTAGTTGTTATTTTTCTTTTTGCTATTGTGTCTCAATGTATAAACAAGTAGGGTTTTACTGAACTGTGCCTGTGGGTGGCGCTGTGATATCTGTGATGCCACCTGTACCAGTGTCCTTACTGTGTATCTGTGTGTGTGTGTTTTGGGAGGTGTCTGACCTGCTGCAGAATGAACGGCGGTGGTGCGTCTACGCCTCAGTGTTCGAGGATCAAAAATGACCCAGGTCGGTCTTCAACACCTGCCACTCACGACGGAGGGCGTTTTTAGGAGCGCTGTGATTGGTTGATTTCTGTGTTCACTCAGATGACTGGAGCAAAGACGAGTGTCTGACGCTGCTGGAGAGGATCCGCGGTCTGCTGCCCGACGGAGACGCCATGAAATACAAAACCACCGAGTCACATTTTGACTGGGACAAAGTCTGCTTCGCTAACTTCAGCGCAGACATGTGTCGACAGAAGTGGCACAAAGTGTCGTCTGAGGTACGAGGTCAACCAGTGGTCAGACACAGAGGCCGCTGGTCCACTGCTGCCTCCTGTGGTCACTCTGTGTCACAAGAGTGAAGTCGCAGTCCTACATAAAATCACTGTTGGGGGTGTGTGTGTGTGTGTGGGGGGGGGTGTGTGACCTCTCACTGAAATCTGCTGTGACACTTTTTAGGTCCGTAAATACAGAACAATGACGGAACTAATTGTGGATGCCATCGAGTTTGTGAAGAACCCATACAAGGGAAAGAAGCTGAAGGTGAGAAGTCGCTGCTGACCTGTGCTAGTGCTAGTACTGTGCTAGTACTGTGCTAGTGCTAGTACTGTGCTAGTGCTAGTACTGTGCTAGTGCTACATCCAATAGCTAAGGTTTTGCCACAGTGAAAAATGTTATAGACCAGGTTTGTCCAATAAGTAGACGCCGGTCGACTGGTAGATCAGCGAGTTCTGGAGGGAGATGAGCAATTCAAATAAATGAATAACTATAACTCATCAGTGTGCAGTACTGAGCATGTACTGAATCATACAGTGCCACAGAGCACAGGCTTTAAACCAGCAACCCAACATTTTCAGTGTGGATCACGAGCACAGACGTGTGGACACTCCTGTTGTTGAGGTGCTGCTCTGGCTGCTACCAGCAGAACCGTTCAAGCTAACAGTTCTTCCTGATCCTGACCCTTGTCTCTGTCCTCAGACTCACCCAGATTTTCCAAAAAAACCTTTGACGCCATATTTTCGCTTCTTCATGGAGAAACGAGCAAAATACGCAAAGATCCACCCAGAGATGAGTAACCTGGACCTGACCAAGATCCTGTCCAAGAAGTACAAGGAGCTGCCCGACAAGAAGAAGGTGAGCCCACCTTTGACCCTGCTGACCTTTGACCTCTGACCCTGCTGACCTTGTCTTGTTTTGTCTTGCAGCAAAAATACATCACAGAGTTCCAACGGGAGAAGGAGGAGTTTGAGAAGAACATGAATCGGTTCAAGTGAGTCCAACGCAACTGTTGATGCTAAGCTACGTGTTAGCTAACAGCCAGTGCTAATGTTGGCTAACCTTCAGGGAGCAGCACCCAGACTTGATAGAGGAGAGGAAAAAGTCAGACCTTCCAGAAAAACCCAAAACTCCACAGCAGCTGTGGTACAACCATGAGAAGAAGGCCTACATGAAGCTGCACCCTGACGTTGGTCCTGCACACACACACACACACACACACCTGTACACACTGAGGTGAGGGGCTGACACGAACCTGCTGCTGCTGCTGCAGGTGAGTCAGAAGGAACTGAAGGAGGCGCTGAGGAGACAGTGGTCCCAACTGTCTGACAAGAGGAGACTGAAGTGGATCAGCAAAGCCCTGGAGCTGCAGAAGGACTACGAGGTACACACACACACACACACACACACACACCTGAAGATGTGTGTGTGTGTCACAGTACATGCTGTAAACCCTGTTTCTGTGTGTGTGTGTGTGTGTACTCAGGGCAGTATGAGAGTGTACCACGAAGCTCACCCTGACCTCCTGACCTCTGACCACGTTCGCTCAGTTCTCACCAAAGCTGAGAGACAGCTAAAGGACAAGTTTGACGGACGGCCCACCAAACCCCCGCCGTGAGTTTGACATGCTAACAGACAGACGGGACGGTGGTGTTAGCACGATGTTAGCACGATGTTAGCACTGAGCCAGTTTCGTCAGAACACCGAGAACTGGACTGGACTTGGACTGATCTGAAGAACATGAGCTGTTAGCATTTATTAGCCACCTGCTAACAGCTAACTGTGTGTGTTGACAGAAACGGATACTCACTGTACTGCGCTGAGCTCATGGTGAACATGAAGGACGTCCCCAGCACCGAGCGCATGGTTCTGTGCAGCAAACAGTGGAAAATGATGACGCAGAAGGAGAAGGACATGTTCCAGAAACGCTGCGAACAGGTGACGCTAGGCCGACGACCACACGCTAACATCATCAGGGAACACGTCAGGACACCACCCATAACACCAAATACATGCACAATGTGTTACTCTAACAGTTTCCCAGACATGTGACAGCTAGCACTGGCTAACAGACAGCGTTTGTGTTTCTGTCTGAGCAGAAGAAGAAGCAGTATGACGTGGACATTCAGCGTTTTCTGGAGGTATGTGGCTCATCTTCATCTGGATTAGAAAGATCAGGACAGTAGCTGGCGCTGCAGCAGCCACATGCATTAGAACCAGAACCAGAACCAGACCTTTTCATTCTTTCCCGTCATATCTAGAGTCTCCCAGAGGAAGAACGAGACCGCGTCCTGACAGAGGAGAAGATTGGAGGGTCCAAACTGAGTGTGGGCGTGGCCTCCAATTCACATGGAGCCAAGTCCTCGTCCGTCAAGGTAGAAAAAAGTGTTTTATCAGACAGTAAATGCTTAACGACATGCTAGCATGATTTTACTACGTCTTTTTCCCCTGAAGGAGCAGGAAGTGTGGCTCACATCCAGTTCTCCCAAAGAAAAACGCGACGGTAAAAAGACAGCGAAACTTCCAGAGAGGCCCAAGACGGCGGAGGAGACGTGGCAGCAGAGCGTGATCGGAGACTACGTGGCCAAATACAGAGTCAGTGGGGGGGGCGGGCAGCCTTCAACACAGTGGAACTGTCACTTACACTGCCCCTGCTGGTCACATGTTTGTCTGACAGAATGACCGTAGGAAGGCGCAGGCAGCCATGGAGGCGGCGTGGAAGTCGATGGAGAAGAAGGAAAAGATTGTGTGGATCAAAAAGGCGGCAGAGGATCAGAAGAGATACGAAGTAAAGTCTCCAGCCTGACTCCACCTCTTTCATCCCCAGGGAGTGGAAGATTGACCTGATGTTTGGGGGTTTTTGTCTCCTGCAGAGGGAGCTGTTGGAGATGAGAACTTCAGGTCAAAGTCAAAGGAAACTCAAGTTTGAAGGGGAGCCCAAGAAACCACCAGTGTGAGTGACAACTGTTAGCCTGTCAAGGTTATGCTAAGCTAACAGTTGTTAAAGCAAAGATAACTTTTTTTGCTGTTGCTAATGCTAACATTTCCCATAAGGCTGATGTTTAGATCACTGTACACAGAGTGTAATCAGTGTTCTTGAGCTCACCTTAAACCCCACCCACTGTCGTGCCTGGTCCAATAGGAGCGGGTACCAGATGTTCTCGCAGGAGCTACTAACTAGCGGCGAGTTGAACCACTTTAGCTTAAAGGAACGAATGGTGGAGATCGGAAAACGTTGGCACAAACTGAGTCCCAGTCACAAAGACAAGTACAAACGTCAGGTGGAGGAACAACAGGCGGACTACAAGCTCCAACTGGAGAACTGGGTGAAGGTGAGGTGGGGGGGGGGAGTGGGGGGGGTGTGGGGTGACGCAGTGCTGCCTTACAGCACTAACCATTTTCACTCTCCTCTGTTCCAGTCTTTGTCACCTCAGGATCGAGCCGTCTACAAAGAGTTTTCCACCTCGGTGAGTTGGTTACCGTTAGCCCTGAGCTAGCACCTCTGAGATATATATAATACTCAAAGAAGCTAATCATTCTAACAATAAAACAGCACAGTATTCACATTATTGTTAGGCTAACTGTAAAGAATGCTAATGCTAACTCCAACCACTGTCCACCTGCGGCTCCTGTTGAAACATTCAAATATAAAGTGAATCCACTTCATATACGCGTTACGTTACGTTGTGTGACCGGTTCGACTCTGACATCGTACGATCTGAGTAAACTAAGCCAGTGACGTTATCTGTGCTCTCCTCAGAAACGTCGCAGCTCGGCCAAAGCTAGCAGCCCAGCAGCTAAAGTTCGAGTGGCAGTGAAGGGGAAGGCCATGGGCTCCAAACCCGCGGCTCCAAGCATCGCTGTGGGGAAGAGGGCCATGGCCTACCGCGCTAAGGTAACCAAGCTAACAGCACAGCGTCACATTAGCTTTTCCTTTGCTAGCCCGTGGTTGGCT